TGCAATTCTCACCCTGTATATATAGCAGTCATATTGCTATCTCACACCTTTTAATTGTTCTTACTTAGTGGCATCATTCCCACTTGGTTTCTCCATCATTTAGAATGCGAAGCACGACTGAATCATTTCCCTGTACATGTCACACATCTTATCTGTAGACTTTGTGAAAGCAAAAAATTAATCATTATAATTATAATAATTTCAATTTAACATTAAAAGGGGATATTCTTATATTACATTGCATTTAGCTGACGCTTTTATCCAAAGCGACTTACAATAAGTACATTCGACCAGGTAGACACAACCTTGAAGAAAACAGAATCATATAAGTACATCAGGTTTCATAGAGCCAAATATTTCAAGTGCTACTCAACTGGCTATAGATAAGCCAGTCCTTTATTAGTATATAAGTGCTTTGTTAATAATTCTATCGCTCGAGGTGGAGTCGAAAGAGATGAGTTTTCAGTCTGCGCCGGGAGGTGTGTAAGCTTTCTGCTGTCCTGATGTCAATGGGGAGCTCATTCCACCATTTTGGAGCCAGGATAGCAAACCCACGTGTTTTTTCTGATGGGAACTTGGGTCCCCCTCGCAGCGAGGGTGCAGCGAGTCGTTTGGCTGATGCAGAGCGTAGTGCACGCGCTGGGGTGTACAGTTTAACCATGTCCTGGATGTACGAAAGGCCAGATCCATTCGCAGCATGGTAAGCAAGTACCAGTGTCTTGAAGTGGATTCTAGCAGTTACCGGAAGCCAGTGAAGAGAGCGGAGGAGTGGAGTGGTGTGTGAAAATGTAGGAAGGTTGAAGACCAAACGAGCCGCTGCATTCTGGGTGAGCTGCAGAGGTCGGATGGCACATGCAGGTAGACCAGCCAGGAGGGAGTTGCAGTAGTCTAGGCGTGAGATGACGAGAGCCTGGACCAGAACCTGCGTTGCTTTCTGTGTCAGCTGGGGACGTATCTTCCTGATGTTGTAAAGCGTGTATCTGCAGCAACGGGTTGTAGCAGCGAAGTTTGCAGTGAAGGACAGGTTGTTATCTTGGATCACACCCAGATTCCTTGCAGTCTGAGTCGGGGAAAGAACAGAGGTGCCAATGTTGATAGTCAGGTCAAGAGTGGGACAATCTGTTCCCGGAAGGAAAAGCAGCTCAGTCTTGTCAAGGTTGAGCTTGAGGTGGTGAGCAGACATCCACTGAGAGATGTCAGCTAGACAAGCAGAGATGCGTGCGACGACCTGGGTCTCTGAGCGGGGAAAGGACAGAATTAATTGGGTGTCGTCAGCGTAGCAGTGGTATGAAAAACCATGCGGGCTAATGACTGATCCGAGCGAGTTTGTGTACAGGGAGAAGAGGAGGGGACCAAGAACAGAGCCCTGAGGGACCCCTGTAGTTAATTGACAAGGGTCGGACTCAGACCCTCTCCAAGTTACCCTGTAGGTACGGTCTTTGAGGTATGAGGTGAGGAGGGAAAGTGCAGAGCCTGAAACTCCAAGTTTTTGGAGAGTGTGAAGGAGGATCTGATGGTTCACCGTGTCGAATGCAGCAGACAGGTCCAGCAGGATGATGACAGAGGAGAGGGATGCTGCTTTGGCAGTGTGCAGTTCCTCAGTGACAGCAATGAGAGCAGTTTATGTGGAGTGACCTGCCTTGAAACCAGACTGGTGCGGATCCAGAAGGTTGTTCTGATGGAGATAACAGGAGAGTTGTTTAAAGACAGCGCGTTCAAGTGTTTTAGACAGGAACGGGAGTAGAGAGACAGGCCTATAGTTTATAGCATCAGACGGGTTGAGAGTGGGTTTCTTTAGGAGAGGGTTTACTCTTGCCTCCTTGAGACTGTTTGGAAAGTGACCAGAAGTTAGAGAAGTGTTGATGAAATGGGTGAGAAACGGTAGAATATCAGGAGCGATAGTCTGAAGGAGGTTTGAAGGGATAGGGTCCAGAGGACAGGTGGTAGGGCGGGCAGAGGTAATGAGGGTAAGAACCTCACTTGGAGAGAGAGGGGAAAAGGAGGTCAGTGTGTGGGTGAAAGGAGGGTCTGGTGACCCAGCGGTGAGTAAAGGTGAGTCAGAAAAAGAAGAGCGAATATCATCAACCTTTTTTTCAAAGTGGATAACAAAGTCGCTTGACAGAAGTGAGGAGGGGGGAGGGGCTTTGGGAGGGTCCAGGAGGGAGGAGAAGATGGAAAATAGTTTTTTTGGGATTGGAATAGGAAGATTGGATCTTATCTTGAAAGAAAGTGCTTTTTGCCTGAGAGATCGAAGCAGAGAAAGAGGAGAGGAGAGCCTGATAGGTTAGGAGGTCGTCACGGTGTTTGGATTTCCACCGTTTCCGCTCTGCTGCCCTAAGGACGGTTCTATTAGCACGCAGTGCGTCATTTAGCCAGGGAGCAGGAGGGGACTGACGAGCCTGCCGAGATGTGAGAGGACAGAGAGAGTCCAGAGAGGATGAGAGAGTAGAGAGGAGAGTTTCTGCAGCAGAGTTTGGAGGAAGCAGTTGGAACGAGTCAGAGGAAGGGAGGGCTGAGAGCACCGATGAGGCAAAGGCAGAGGGGGAGAGGGAACGAAGGTTACGGCAGACAGGTGCAGGGTGAGAAGAGATTAGTTTGTTATGTTTGGAAAGGGGTAGAGAGAATGAAATGAAGAAGTGATCAGATGTGTGGAGCGGGTTTACAGAGAGGTTAGAAGTAGCGCAGTTCCTTGAGAATATGAGATCAAGGACATTGCCAGCTTTATGAGTTGGTGGGGAAGGAGACAGTGAGAAAGCAAAGGCAGTTAACAGAGATGTTAGTTCGTCTATCTTCCCTGTCTGGAGGTTGAAGTCTCCAAGAAGTACAGCGGGAGGACCAGTTTCAGGGATGTGTGAGAGGAGATTATCTAATTCCTCCAAGAAGTCCCCCAAGGCGCCTGGTGGACGGTAGAGAACAACAATGGTTAGCTGTATAGGATGGGTTACTGTGACGGCATGGAATTCAAAGGTGGAAGGAGTGAAGTTAGGTAGCTTGAAGAGGGAAAAGCTCCATTTGGGAGAGAGCAGGAGACCAGTGCCACCACCTCTGCCAGTGGGTCTGGGTGTATGGGAGAAGGAATATGCTGTGGAGAGAGCTGCTGGGGTGGATGTGTTGAATGGAGTAATCCAGGTCTCAGTGAGAGCAAGAACATCCAGGGACTGCAGGGAGGCGTAGCCAGAGATGAAGTCAGCCTTAGGAACAGCTGACTGGCAGTTCCACAGGCCACCTGAAACTAGATGTTGGATCTCAGTGGAGCATGTGGGATAGACGAGAGCAGGCCGGTTATAGCGATTAGGAGATACACGGGGCCAGTGATAATTGCGAGAAGACACATGAACAGGAATGGAGAAAATACACATGATTATAGCATGAGGGGCTAGAAAACTAAAGAAAAGAAAATAGGACACCAGCGGTAATTAGCTCAATCAGAGTAGGATTTGCCTCCCTCGTGACTCCCGCAGGACTCCAATGTCTTTGTCAGTCTTTGACTCCCGCAGGACTCCAATGTCTTTGTCAGTCTTCGGCTGTCTGACGCTGAAGCTGACGCTCCAGGAAAGAGCTACCTAAAATGGACGCCTGATTGCTGAGTTCTCACAGCTGATGGGCGACAGCAGAGTGGCCCTGCCTATATTGTAATGCACGCTTGAGTGCCCACTGCGACCTGTGTAACAGGTTCCCTTGAGCAGATCTGAGATTTAAAATCTCTCAAAAGCGCCGTTTTAGCTACAATAACTACAGAACAATTATACAGAGTAGAATAAATGAAACAGAGAAGTCTAATTAAACAAGAATATAACTTACAGTGATTGCTGCGTCAATAGGTATTGTCGTCACCCGGTCTAGATGCACACAGATACACTTGGAAATAAACACTGCTCTCAAATGATTGTTTGATTTGTATACAATTAAAATACCATGTTGGCAAGACAGTAGCCTATAGACAGGTGAGAATACAAAAAAAAATGTGTATAATTTTTTTTTGCTTTTCTGGAAGCAGAGAATGAGGCCTCGAAACATCTCAAATCACAGTTTAAAAAGTAGAACATGGGGAGTGACTTGTCTCCTGTGTGGTTGCAGTGCATTCCACATAACCGTGTTCTCCGAGGTTCAATTCCAGCCCTTGAAGCTTTGTTAGATGTCACATTCTCACTCACCCATTCTACACCATCAACTGTCAGAGAAAAGCAACCCCCTGCCACCAAAACAATCTTAAATACATTATCGGATAGAGGCATGGATGGCTGTCATGGACATCAACTACATTGACTGAGTATCTTCTGAAGCTTTAAGCAGCTGTAAAAAGGAAAATAAACTCATATGGCTTACTGAATATAACAACCCTTTTCCCCATAAGGTAGAAGGAGATCTTGTGCATAAAGATTAACACAATGTGTGTCAAAGATGTCTTAATTCAGTTTAATGGCATTTTAAGTACATAGACTGAGGTTGAATTGGATTGCATTATATTGGGTATTTCTGTTCATTGCTGTACACTAGAAATACATTACAATATGACAGCAGACTTTACAACCATTTTACATTTTAATGTTTGGATGTGAGCCCCTGCCTGCATTCTTTTATCATAACAATTGATAATTTGTCAAAATAAAATGTATGGAGCTAAAGTGTTATGTAACTACAGATCATAATAGCACTGCAAACATAAGATTTCAAGACAAATGTCACCATCAAGTGGTACACTTTTGACATTGCACAACAAACCTTCGCTTCCAACAACCCTCCGTGACTGGTCAACCAACCTTTTACACTCACAGAGGCCGCCTATTGGTTACTCGTTACCACGAACTCGTATCTGATTGGTTCCTTCTAACCCCAAACAGCAAGCACGTTTTTGTCAGTATTCTTTCGTTAGCTTAGCTCTCTGTTCTGACTCCGACAATCAACAGGTTAGTGCTTAAGTTAATAAGCAGTATATACACATATGCTTGCGTAATGATTAGCTTTAAAACATTACATGATTCCTTTTTATTCGTCTTAACTTTATACTTCTTAGTAACCTCACTTCGGTTCTGATGTGTGGAGTTTGCTAATTAGCATTGATTTAGCAGGGTTAAGTTTGTTTCACCTCAGGATAGCATTAGCTAAAGAGTCCTTCACTCTTGTAGTCTTGTTGGAAGGACAGCACAAGTGTCTTTGAACCAAACCGAGTCTTTGCTTAATAAACTGAAGCTGCAGCGACAATCCCAGCTGTTCTTGTCTCTGCTACAAATCCATTTTTAAATGTGGCGGTTTGCATCATTTGTGAAGTGACGACGTGGGAGGCAGCCAACGGAGGTTAGGTTGCTAGGCAACAACTAATCCAGAATATAGCTTTTGACACTGACCAAAACTCAAGCTTTTTTATTTTATATGAGCGTAGTATGTGTTGCAGTGAGTGTTCTGTTACAGCATTTTTTTTTAAATAGTAGGTTTATTGAGTTCTTAGCATTAGCAACATAGGATAACCTTTGGTATTTAGCGTTACGTTAACATACCATTTGCACAGTTACCATAGTAACAAGATACAAGATCTATAGAGATGCTATAACCAACGCCGAGTAACGTATGACAATTTGGACGGGTTCGGTTCTGTGCATCGTAATAGCATTAACATGGCTCTAGTGAAACGTTGATATGCTTTGCTGCTAAATAACGCAGAGGACGTCCTTGTTTCAGGTATGGATAATACAATGACGGTACGTGTAGCTTACTGTCGTTAGCATGACAGCTGTGTTTTTACAGTCACCTAGAGCTACATTAAGGTAATTAGATACTTAATGTTATGCTTAGTAGCATTAGTTGATTACTTGCACCGCATGTGCACTACAGCTAGGTTGTTTCACTGTATATTTCTGTATGAGGAAGAGTGTTTGACTGTTTGTGGGATTTATTTAACGCTATATGTTCAAGAAACACCGCACTGTTTTATAGACTTCTAATCCGCTTTGCACGTCTTATTTTTAGGGATGGGACAGCCGCCTGTGGTGATCCTCCGGCGCCTCATGAGTGGCAGGTAACGTTAGTGACGGTGCAAAAGCAATGTTGTGCCGCTGTGCACAATGAAGAAAATATTCAGCTTCACCAAGAAAAAGAAACACCCGTCCGGTACTCCTGACAACGGGAGTGTGCTTTCTGTTGGCTATGACCTGAAAGACAAGGACCTCGGGAAGGTTCACAAGGCTGCATCAGGGGGTGATCTGGCAAAGTTGAGGCAGCTCGCCAAAAAGAATGATATCAATCAACTTGACAAGGAAAACAGGTAAACTGGCTTTGAAGCACTTGTTGTCACATCTTTGAAGTTGTACAGTATGTCTTATTAACCCTAGTAATATAGTCCACATGCATATCTTAATAAATGTTATTTTATTTGTATTAGATATACACTTCTCTACTGTATATCTCTGTTAACACATTTTGTTTAACCATCTTTTATCACTCTTTTTAAAATTGGTATGTATAAGAGTCCCCTATTGACCCTTGGCCTATTTTAATACTGTATCCCTTTGTTTAACAAATGAGTTGATTCAAAACAAAAACTGTTCCCCAAAAATGAATGCAGCCAATCATATGGATCAATTTATTGTGCTCTTGAAATAACAAAGCTCTTTTTAAGAATAGTATTGCAATACTAGAGCCATAGTTTTCATAATATAGCAGCTTTAGGGTATGTTGTTGATACAAGTATTGAAACCTTGTCTTTGTATATTAGAGCTAGGTAAGACATGTTCAGTACTTTTGACTGTAAACAGCAAACTGCCGTCTTTTTGAAGCAACAATTAAAATGTACATGACACCCCATTGTTTCTTTTCTACTTATGTTTCAAAGTGGGATCTAGTTACCATTTACAATTGGTGTCTCAAAAGTGAGTTGCTTATGTATGCTACTTAAGGCACGTTACAGTATAGCTTGTGAAATATCATCATTGATATACAGTATGTCAGGCACCTCAATGAGTGCAGCTGTTCATCAAGGTGCTCTAAAGATAAGCTTACAATTATCCTTGTCAGCTAAGTAGAAGGATTTTTGTAAGAAAAAGATTGCACGCTAATGAGAAACTGTCATTTACCATTTCAGAACTGCGCTTCATATTGCCTGTGCCAGTGGACATGCTGAAGTGGTGCAGTTTCTCGTTGAGAGCAAAGCCAAGCTTAACCTATGCGACAATCAAAATAGATCCGCCCTAATGAAGGTAATCCTGGATGATGAGACTCCACCAGAGAGTGGTTCTTCATTTATGTTGAATATATTGTGATGATCAAAGTTTGCTACTTTCCTCATACATTGTTTAAAGCCTGACTTCTGCAATCATATCAATCTCATCTCTATCAGGCAGTGCAGTGCCAGCATGATTCCTGTGTCAAAATACTGCTGGAGAATCATGCCGAGCCTAACCTGGTCGACATCAATGGCAATACAGCACTACATTTATCGGCAAACATCCCATCCATGTCAACTACTATCGCTCTGCTGGAGCACGAGGCCGACATCAATGCACACAATAAGGTGATTCCGTCTTTCTGTCTACAACAGCTCACAACTTAGTGATGATAGATGCTAGTGGTTGGACAATATTTAGGCATACTCCTGTTATCTTGATTGCAGAAAAAAATTAACAGCCCTTATCATGCCAAACCATTATTAACGTTTTAAACCACACATATTCGAGTTTCCTTCTATTAAAATTCAAAATGTTTGCTGGGAGATAGATGTCATTTTTGTATGCATTCAGTGGTATATCTGTAGGCGATAGTCAAATGCTAGAAAATAAAGAAGGATATTAAAACTAAATAAATGTGTCTGTCAGCTATCATATTTGAGTTTCAGTCTATGATGAGTTGTTGCTGTTCTGTTGATACATTCAATACAAAAAAATATAGTTGTTAACTGTGATCTCATATTTAGGAGGGATTCACACCCTTGATTGTGGCAGTCCGTGAGGACCATATCGAGATGGCTGAATTTCTCCTCAAAGAGCGGGCTGATATAAATATCATGGACCAAAGCCAAAGGTCAGTACTGAACAATGAGACATTTCTTAAGCATGTCCAATAACCTTAAAGGTGGGGTAGGTAATTCACTTCAGAAACACTTTTTCTTATATTCCATGGAATGCTCTTAACATCCCGATAGCAATGAATACATTAAATGCTTTGACAATAAATATATTTAAAAATTCATCTGTGGAAGCCGTGGCGCTGTAAAAAGCATGACCAATCATTTTAGCCGGCCCGGCTAAAGTAACTGGATGGCCTACCTGCCTGTCAGCCTTCCATCTCGTGCACAAACTTACCTCGTGCCCTCATTGGTCATGTGCGCGTTCGTGTGTGTTGGAGGAGGGGCTCTGTGAGGAAGTCTGAAGGAAGGGGCAGATTTTTTCCGGTTGTGTACTTTCAAATTCTAGCGCACTCGAGCTGGTTTCTCCATTCTTACCTACCCTACCTTTAATGTTGCATAATTCTTTGTTTACAAATGTTCATTTTGCTATAATTTTTTTAACCTGCAGGTCCGCTTTAATGTTAGCTGCAGGCAATGGACAAATCAGTATGTTGCGGCTGCTTCTGAGGTTTGACGCCGATATCACAATAAAGGATACCAAAGGATGGTCAGCCGATGATTACGCTGTGATGAATGGGCATCATCCGTAAGCTCTGATTATTTTCTTTGCACATATGGTATTTATTTTGCAGTTCATGGATTTGTGGAGTCTCTATGGAGTGCAACACTGGAACAAACTACCAAATCTCTCAAATGGATAATTGTGTTTGTTTATTCATTAGGAAACAATTTAGTTTTACAGTTTAAAACTTTTACTTTTTAAGGCTTCTGACATTTTACATCATTGTCTTGACTCTCTTGTAGATGTTCCCTCCTGATCATTGAGCACAGTACCCAGAAGAATGAAGGGCCCTCTATATCAAATCAAGGGCTGAGCAAGAAGAAGACCGTGTTGGGTAGTCCTTCCCAAAACGTTGAAGCGGGCTTCTCTTTGGGAGGACCAGCCATTGATAAAGATGGTAGGGTGATGCATTGTTATCACATAATAATCAATAAGAGTGGTGTGAGGATATTATGGTTGTTTGTAATTATTATTGACTTTGATTATTTGATTTACTCCTCATGCATTACCTCTTGACTGGATCTAGAGCATCGAGCAAATGAAGCAGGGGGAGGTATAACTTTGCTTAGATGAGCTTTTATAGTTCAACCAGTCAAATGCTGTCAGTCTGGTGACAGTACTGATCAATAAGTCCCTAAAGATTGATGTTTATGCTTCTTCATTTGTAGCGCACCAAACTGTTTCTGCTTTTAAAAAATGACATGCTCTCCTTGTCACTATTTGACAGATAATATATTAAAAAATGACATGCCTTCCTAAAATGTATCCACCTGATGCTGAACATAAGCTGCTCTGTTTTCTTGCAGATTTTGAAGACAATTCTCAGTCGGAGTCTTTAAGTCGGTAAGCACAGTTCTCTTTTTGTGGATTATAACCTAGAATTACAATTGCCGTCCTGGCTCAAACCATTCTTCTTACCTTTTCAGGGTTTCAAAGAGTGCTGCAGATGAATGGGCTTCATCAGATGACGATGATGAATCCGTTTTAATCGAACAGGTTGGGTGATGTTCCTTTTCTTGTAGACTGAGTTTTTTCTGAATTTTGTTCTATCCTTCAATTGTTATGCTGTCTTTCAGAAACCATCGAAGGTAAACCTGAGGAAAATGATTGCATCTAAAAGAGGAAAAGGTAATACGAATATTTTACCCTTATCAGAGCCGCTTTTACACCAAGTACTTTGCCGTACTTAGTTCCCAGCACTTAGCTCCCCCATGGAACTAAAGAGCAGATCGCGTTCACACCGGAATAAGTCCCTGAGGGAAGATTACGCAAATGAAGCCGCTGACGTCATTTCTTCTTCTTCTGCTTTTGGTTTACTGGCAGGCCGCAAACAACTTCACTGCCACCCGAAGTCCCCGGCCGGAAGTCCCCGGAGTTGGGGACTGGCTTCAGTAGAAGCTGCTGGGACTCCCAGCAGCTTCTACTGAAGCCTTCCGAGTAAATCGCCAGAACGCCGACACCTCCTCATCTCCACCGCTCCCATGTTTTCTTTTGTGTTGCCATAAGTTATTCTCTCTCCGTTGGTGCGCGGGCTAATGCTAATAATGCTAATGCCAGCAAATACAATGCTTCACAAAACTTTTCCGAGTTTTACGGGCCGTGGTTTGCAATTCGCGCAGCTAATCAGAAATTGGAACTTTTTTCTCCCCAGGAGAGTCCCACCTCTCTAGCAGGGACGGAAAAGCGGGGAAACGTTCTCATGAACTAAGTTCTCTTTTTGGTGTGATCGCAAAATCCCAGGAACTATCGGAACTAAACGGGGAAAAGTACTCCGGTGTGAAAGCGCTTCTTGTCAGTGTTCCTCCATAGTTTGTGTTTTTTTGGTAGTAATCTTTCATCCCTGCCTGCCTGCCTGCCTTGTAGCTTCTGCGATACCTGACAAATCCCTGAGCGCTACAGAATCTGAACCAGAGAGTGAGAATAGAGTGCAGAGAATCCCATCCCTCCTTAAGGCGTTACCGTCCAGCAAAGCTCCAAAGCGCCCAGTAGATCCTTCTCCCATTTCCTTCCTGTCCAAAGCACCCCAGATGTCTTCTACCCCTCTTCAAAGCTACAAAAAGGTAAAATATATGGTGTTGAAGCTGTGCTGATTGCATTTTTAAGATCTGTCCTTCTATTTTTTTTTTCCCAAAACACTCATTACAGCAGACGATCAGGAGCAAAGCAAACAATCAGAGCAGCCTTCCACTAGTAACACAAGGTCAGACTCTCAGGAGGGAGAGGAGGAGGAAGAGGAGGAGGAGGAGGAGGAGGAGGAGGAGGAAGAGGAGGAGGAAGAAGAAGAAGAAGAAGAGGAGGAGGAGGAAGAAGAAGAGGAGGAGGAGGAAGAAGAGGAGGAGGAGGAAGATGATGATGATGAGGAGGAGGAGGAGGAGGAAAGTAAAGAGGAGGAGGAAGAAGATGAGGAGGATGAAGAAGATGAGGAGGAGGAAGAGGTTGATGATGGCAAATGTGTAGCTTCTGTTGAGGCCAACAAGACTGAATTTGAAGACAAACCCTCTGTTACTGCTGCTCTTAAGATTATTGACGCTGAAAACATACCTGGTGCTGACACCCCTTATAGCAGGGAAACTAGTCCCAGGATTGTAGAAGACTCAGAGAAAGATGCCACTGTCCACCCACCTGGAACAATTAGTTATGCACTGCCAGCAACAGACTGTATCGTGTCGGCCATTAGAGTAGAATCTAAGTTTTCTGATGAAGATGACAGCCTTGGTTCAAAAGGAGGCCCCCTCCCTTCCAGACTTCACACAGAAACTTCACCAGCTGTGGTAAAGGAGGAAGAAGGAGAAATGGATAAGGATGATAATTCCTGGAGTAATGGTAAAGGTGAAAATACACACGGTTCCTCTGATGGTGCATCAAAAAAAGAATTGTTCAAAGAGAGTAAACACAGATCTTCATGGGGCTCCTCGTTAGACGACAGTGACAATGACCTACCCAAAGAATATGAGGTAAACAATGAAACCCTTGATCAGAAAAGTGATGTTCCAGATGTACAACCAGAAGCAGAAACACTGCCTTCAAAATGCCCATTAGCTCAACCAAATGTAGATCAACCAGATACCTCGTGGGATTCCTCATCACCACGGGTACCAAGTCCAAAACGTGTCTCGCATCAGCCCCTGATAGAGGAACTTGTGTCTGCTTTGGGGTTACGTTCAAAAAGCACCCTTCAGTCCAAAAACAGACTAGCGAAAGCAACAGTAGATGAATCCGAGTGGGATTCCTCTACTGAAAATAACCATAAAGATGATGCGCATTCACCAGATTTTAAAACAAATATTGTATCTGCAAACCAGACTGGTGAGCAGCAGTGTTCTGATGACTTTGCGGAAGAACAAGATAAAGAAAGTGTTGAGAAAGTTTTAAATTACCCTTCTACTGCAGGGTCACCAGTACCTGAGGGTGAAAAGGCAACCACAATCCATACACTAGAACTAGATAACGATGAGGTTGAAACATCACAAAAGGAAGACAGATTAAAGTCGGAGAAGGAAGAAGGCGATGACAGTAGTTGGGATGATGAGGATGAAAGTAATGAGTCAGAAAAGCAGAAGTCAATGGGGACAAAGGATAATGATGTTGAAGCCTGCGGTAACGTCTTAGAGACAAATCATTCCACCCCAAACATGTCAAGGCCCACGAGCGCAATAGACAACAAGTTAGAGGGAGATGAAGATAATGAAAAGGATCAAGAATCTATTATTGATGGAAAGGATCAGATTGTAGAGAATAACGGGCTGGAGGAGGAAGACAAGCTGGTTGATGTCGATAAAGATAATGAGGGAAGTGAGGACTCTGACAGCCAGGACCAGAGACTGCTGTACGATTTCGCCAGCGCAACGGTCAAAGTGTCTGACGATAAAGACGAGGCTAGATTAACTTCATATGTTCCGCTAGAAAATAGTAGTGCTATTGTTTCCCAGACCAGAGTATCATCGGACGACCTCAATGAAGAACCGACAAGGACAAATATGTGTTCAAGCCCACCCACTGTCGGTCAACACCGTGACTCAGACGGGAACGCATCGCCTGACGATGAAGCGTTACCTCAGACGGACATTGATGATGTTGATGTGGTCTCACCTGATGAAGCAGAGAGCTTAGGCATGAACAGTCAAGAAGTCAGAAACATTGACGAGCCGGTCATTCAGGTAAAACAGGAACACTACAGGTAGTTTTTAGTTGTAGCGTAACAGTTTCTGAAATGAAGTGTGGCCTCTTAAAACCAGCACTTTACAAGCTATTTTTATATCCTTTTCCCAGTGTTTTTCATACCATTGGAGTTGCCTTGTGAAATATGCTATAGATGAGAGTAACTCCTACGTCACTTCCGGGCGAAAATTACGGCCCCGCCCACTTTTGGGGGAAAACAACGCTGTAATTTGAATGGCGGACAATACAAATGCTGAAGTTTTTGCCAATCCGATCAGAAATTTAAGAAAACCGTGGATTTTTGGATCTTCAAAGAGTCCGATTACGATGGCCAGTCAGGCAAACAATTACATTAAATCCTTTGAAATTGAAGATCGGGCTCGATATATGGTTAAATTAAAATCAGTAGGCGAGTTTGTAATTTCGCCAGCTGTTACTCTCATGAGCGAGGCGGAAAATAATAGTTTTATCATGCCAAAAAGCTGCTGTGTCGTTTATTGCACCTCAAACATTAAAACAAATCCAGAGTTCAGTGTTTCTGTACTTTCTCTAAGAAAAAAGGACAGTAAAAGAAGATCTCTTTGGCTTCAGGCTTCATTGCCATTCAAATGACAGCGTTGGTTTCCCCCAAAAGTGGGCGGGCCGTAAAGTGACGTAGATGTTACTCTCCTCTGTGGACATCGATCGCCTACTGCTATATTTAACCATATATTGAGCCCGATCGTCGATTTCAAATGATTCAATGTAATTATTTGCCTGTCTGGCCATCGTAATCGGGCTCTTTGACGATCCAAAAATCCACGATTTTCTTACATTTCTGATCGGATTGGCAAAAACTTCATAATTTGTATTGACCGCCATTCAAATGACAGCTTTGTTTTCCTCCAAAAGTGGGCGGAGCCGTCATTTTTGCCCGGAAGTGACGCATGTGTTACTCTCATGTATAGTATAATAAGCGTTTGAAGTTTATGCTTATGTAAAATGTATTTGTAATTTTTTTTTTTATTAGAAAGAAGATTCGACTGGGGATGAGGATGATGATGACCAGAATGATGATGACCAGGATGATGAGGAGGAGGATGAGCAGGAAGAGGAGGAAGAGGAGGAGGAGGAGGAGGAGGAGGAGGAAGAAGATGTCTCAGATGATAATGAACAACTTCAAGCAAGTGCAGAGTCCCTTGAGGCCTCAGCTGTTCCTGAAACAGAAGTCTCTAAAGATAAGAAAAGGGGTAAGGAGCTATTTATTTATTTATTATCGATGCACTATGTACAATGCACGGCCAACTGTATTTCTAACACTACAACTTCAACATCTGGTACCTACTGGTAGTCTTTTCCTCAGTAAACAATAACAGCTTTGCACCTTTATATTGTTTGCTTTAATGACAGTCAGATACACTTTTGATTTTCTTCAACTGGAGACATTCTTACTGAATCGAGAAATTATATGATGTTTACCAAATCAACTGTAGTAACTATGTTATTGTAAAAGTGGTTATTCATTAAAAAAATTAAGTGCTGCTGCCTTGTGTATTTTCTCTATATCTCCTACCATTACTTTTCAGTTTCAGCATTGTAATAAATCTACACCTGTTGAAACAGATTTCCTGTCCGAGCTGGGTCTAGAGCAGGGAGAGGAAGAGCAGGACTCTTGGGACTCTGAGGTACAGTGAAGACACATTATGTAATATCTATGAGGATCAGATGTTAGCCAATCAAATTCTCACAGATTGCCTTTTCTCTTTCAGTCCCACTCTGAAAACCCCAAAATTCCACAGCAAGAGAAACAAAGCTCGCTTACCAAAGTTAAAGAAGAGGTGGCCACTGTTGAAGAAGGTATTTTTTATTTTTACTTTTTTGAATCTAATCATTCAAGGCGCCATTTCACGCTTCAGAAACAATATGACCTTTTGATATCATATTTATAAAAAACTGCTTTAGTGTAGGGCTGCTCAATTAATCGTATTTTAATCGCAATTACGATTTTGGCTTGCAACGATTATGAAAACAACATAATCGAAATAAAACGATTATTATTATTTATTTATTTTTAATTGGTTTTCAGTTGATTTATACTTAAAATTCAGGGTAATCAACTGTTAAAAACATATTGTTCAACATTTTTTTTTCAATAAATGGATGTTTTCAAAGTAAATGGATACTCGTTTTTTAATAATCGTGATATCAATTATTGACCCAAATAATCGAGATTATGATTTTTGCCATAATCAAGCAGCCCTACTTTAGTGTATAAATGTATTAATATGTGTCTGTGAAAAAAAGCTGTAGAATGTGCAATGCAATACATAATTTCCATGAATCATAACAGCCTTTCCAACAATATGTTACATTTCTTTTGTAGACTTGTTTTATATTCCCTCGTTTTTAAGAGAGGAAGGAGGGAATAGGATCCTAGAGCCTCGGAGGAGTGTAGGCAGGCCGAGAGGCAGCCAGGGAGAGGGTATGAATGCTTTGACTCATAGGTCTGAGGAACAGCATGGTAACCATCACCTCATGATCACCATTAGAGAATGCATGCAGCATACAGTACGCCACTCCACCATGCCTGCTACCCTCAAACCCTATTATCCCACATTTTGATCATATTTATTTTCTTAACTAGCTTTGTTTCAGCAGGTTTTGGCCCAAATTATAGAAATAACTAAGTGCAGAATGCTTGGCAAATGCTGAAATTGTGTCCCAGTGTATATCAGGAATCTAATCGCCCAACCGATGCCTAACCATTGTCTCTTCACGCTAATTAACCATGAGCTTGTTTGCATGGCGTTTTGATGTTCTGGCAAACTCAGCCAGCTTCACCAGAATGGTTTTTACATAAAAAGTGTATTGTTTTTCACACATTTCACAAGTCATGTCTCTTTCAGTTGGAAACGACCATACTGGTGATAATAGACAAGGAGATGTTGAGAAAGATGATGGTGTACAGAAAGAGGTAGGTCCAGCAACTAGATGTCCTAGAAAATCAAGTAAATTGTGAAAACTGTTGGAAACGTGTTCTTTTTCTTTCTTTCTTCCAGACTGAGAAGTCAAAGTGGGAACCTCTTCGTGTTTTGAGCAAACTTGAAGCCGATCACGAACAGCAGACAGGTGGATAGAATAACCTGAAGCATTGTGGTTCCTTTTGGTCTGTTGTTTTTAACATGGTAGTCTGTTTCTCTTTGACAGACTTAATGGAAGAGCTCGGTCTTGGTGATGTTGATGATCTTGAAGGTAATCAATAATATCGAATTCTCCACCTTTTGTAATATTTTTTAAATATGGTGATCACAAGGCAGTTGATCATCTAATGCCTTTGTCTGCCACTAAACATAATGCACATACCAGAGTTCCCGTTAGAATATGTTTTCGCCGGTCAACATGTCCGTTAAAGTTTATATCTTCCGGACAAAATGAGAAAAGTGCCGGTCAAAGGTCTTCTTTGTTATTTATTGTGCTTTAAAACAAATTGATATGATTCGATATTAAACAAACTAATTATAGTAGATTAACTACACTATTCAAAAGTGAACAGTAATTTACAATAACACGGGAATAATAAACGGTGTGCTCTCTCCCTCTCCTGACAGCCCGTCAGTATCATGCAGCTCGCGGATCAGTAATGAGTGAGCCGACAGTAAAACTAAACATATCTATAACTAGTTTAGGTAGTTTGAGAGGTCATTAAAATAGCTACGTGTGATATTCTAACCTGAAGTGTGTGTTTTGTTCCGCTCACCGCTGCATGTGATCATGCAGAGCTGCATGTCGACTCGTCAGCAGCTGAACTCTCTCCCGTCAGATTAGACTTCACTCGCGTTTACGTCCATATTGATCGGATCTAGCTAGTTCTAGCTAATGATAGGACTACCTGCTTATTAAAAGACACCTAAACAATAAGCGTCGCTATGCAACCGGGTGAGGCCACAAAGTATAGCGCAGCATTATGCATTTGTTTACATGCCCACCGGAACCCCGAGGCATTACCAACAGATCAACGCACAATCAACCCACACAGGACATCTTTCTCCACATTAAGTGTTAGACATTAGAATTGACTATTCTTGTCTGTCACATACTCTTTTGTCTGTCACATAAATGGCGCAAGTTGCGCAACTGATGTGGTATTGCGCTAAACGGAAATTATTTTGAACGGACACTTTGACCGGAGAGATTTAGATTTGCCGGTCTTCAGCATATTTTACCGGTCGTAGTCCGGTAATTACCGGCTAACGGGAACTCTGGCACATACATAGTCCTTTTTGCAGTGAAACCCTTTTTAGATAAAGAACAGACCGGGGACCCCCTTACAGTACCTCTTTTGGAAGAAATTGACGTAGCCTCTTTTTTAACTATAGCCTAGTTATGGTTAAGAACAACCTTAAAAATATATATTAGAAATATAGATGTAACATTTGCTACATCTTAACACAGAATACCCATGAATATTTAAATGAATGAATCAGATTTTTTTTGCAACAAACCCTTCTTTCAGAATCACTGATTATCAGGTCGTTTGCTGGTAGAATATGTCTGAGTAGCACCCGAAAGCGTCACTTTCAAATATTAAAGGTGGGGTAGGTAATTCACTTCAGAAACACTTTTTGTTATATTCCATGTAATGCTCTCAACATCCCGATAGCAATGAATACATGAAATGCTTTGACAATAAATATATACAAAAATGTCATCTGTGGAAGCCGTAGCGCTGTAAAAAGCACGACCAATCATCTGAGCCGGCCCGGCTAAAATAACTGGATGGCCTACCTGCCTGTCAGCCTTCCATCTGCGCACAAACTTATCTCGTGCCCTCATTGGTCATGTGCGTGTTTGTGTGTGTTGGAGGAGGGGCTCTGTAAGGAAGTCTGAAGGAAGAGGCAGATTTTTTCCGGTTGTGTACTTTCAAATTCTAGCGCACTCGAGCGGGTTTCTCCATTCTTACCTACCCTACCTTTAAGGAGATACATTATTTTTAATCATAAAAAAATGTCTATCTGCATTTAACCCTGGCTTAACCACCCTTTCCATTTTTCTGTCATCATCGCACTTGTTGAAGCTAAAAAAAGAGGTCAGTAAATGTGAACTAGCTTGTAAGAAAGGTGAACTTTTGACCCTGGTAGCTGTAGTTACTCCTTTGAATCCTCAGTCTGATGTGAGTGCAATAGCATCCCAGCCAATCCCAGATGTTTTTCATTGAGTGGTTGAGTGTTGGGTGTTGTTGTTATCCCAGTGTAAACATACCTTCATCAGCATCAATGTCATTTGTTGTTTATTTACCTACAACTTCTTGTATTTATGGCACAGATGCGTCAGACTGGGACTCCGCCAGTACGGCCAGTAAGAGAACCCTGCCCGGCCGCAGAATGCCCTCCCCTGGACTGGAGGAGTCCCCAGAATGCTCTTATCCACCTAAAGAGCAGGAAGAAAACCTTGCTACAGCTGCACCTCCAACAACTCCAAGAAGCATCAACCCCAACAAAACAACACCCAGCACACCCCCCCCAACCCGTGCCCCAACCCCAGCCTCGAGCAAAGAAGATGGTGCCTGCAAAACCAGAGAGTGAAGAAGGTAAGGCCTATTAAGCCCTTCTGTGATATCCTTTCTAAACACATACTGTATTGAGACAAAGGATATTATCACAGCATTTTCCTCTCTCTGCTCTAATTCAGAATCGGATTGGGAACAAGACAATGTGGCGTCCACTAGCAATACAGCCAAAGTTGACAATCAGCTGCAAAACCTAGCTGAGCTTCAGATAGCGGTTACACCAGGTAAGGCTGTCTGGTTTTCTTTAGGTTGACTACAAATATGTGTGTGCTCACGCCCTGTGTTCGTGATAAAGACTCTCTGTCTCCTTAGGTTCCCCTGAGCTCCCACCGATGGCAAGAGACACCAAAACTAGCGAAGAGTCTGACCAGGAGCAACAAAAGGTGAGAAACACCCACAAACTACCATTTCTACCAATATGTTGATATCTTATTCCTGACTTTAGTTTGTCCCAGCATCACCATTCATGCTTTCCAAGGAAATGAAACATTTGATCTGTGTCAGTTCAAACAATTATGAAATTGCAGAAGCTCTAGGCTAGTTCTGCTCGATTATGGCAAAAATCATAATCTCGATTATTTGGGTCAATAATTGATATCACGATTATTAAAAAACGATTATCCATTTACTTTGAAAACATCCATTTATTGAAAAAAAAAATGTTGAACAGTATTTTTTTAACAGTTGATTACCCTGAACTTTAGGTATAATTAAACTGAAAAACCAATACAATTTATAAAAAAAATAATTAAATAATCGTTTTATTTCGATTATGTTGTTTTAATAATCGTTGCAAGCCAAAATCGTAATTGCGATTAAAATACGATTAATTGAGCAGCCCTACTCTAGGCAAGATCAAAGATTGTTTTAGTAGTATTGCTCAGTAAATAACAAAGTTAGTCCATCTCTTTTCCAAAAATGTGAGAAAAAATTGGTAAAATATTTAAATTTGCAATTGTGGGATAAGGCTACAAATACTATTAGCATGTACTGTGCCAGAAATCAAATGTTCTAAATGTTTTAAACAATATAAGCCAAACAAGTAAGAACAAATTACCTTATCGTAAATATAATTTTTGAGCAATTTCTGTATGTTTAAATTCTGCCATATTTGTTTGATTATTGTGTGTTTTAATTTAAAGTCCAAATGTGGTTTTTGTATGTTTTGTCTTGTCTGTGTTTTGTCTTCCTTGTCCACCATGCCATCAAAGGAGGTAGATGGTGCAGTAGATATATGCGAGCTAGATCTAAATAACTCGAATCCATCTGGCCATGCGGGCTCTGACGATAGAGAAAAGGATTATATCTTTAAAGATCAACCCAGTTATGAAGAAAGGGGTGAAGCTAGTGATGGCGTCCCATGGGAGAATCGCTACGAGAAGCTCTGGGTGGAGGTGGAAAAACGGGAGGTGAAATCCACCTTCAAGAACGTTGCTGGGGAATTAAAAGAGAAGTTTGGAGAACTGCTTCGATCAAGACAGACTGCAGAAGTAGTCGTAGAAGAAGAACAGGCCACGGCGGAATCTACTTCTGCAGACGAAGAGTCGAGCGATGAAGACGAAGATGGGGAAGTGATTGTGCGCCCGACGGCCAGAGCAAGGAGTACCGTCCTTCTCACCATACCCGAGCAGAGGGAGTCTGGACAGGAAGACTCTCTGGCGGATTCAACTGACAACTCGTTATGCGATGACCTGATGCAGGTTTCAGCGCCCCCCCCACGTAGTGAGACCAACATGTGCCGAGAGTCAGATGTACTCACTGATGAAGTCCTTGAGGAGCGCAGATCTCCGTCACCTCCACTCACCACAGCACAAAGAAACAGCTGCGTAGATCACGTTACCACGGCTCTGAATGATGACCATACCATGCACATGTCCGATGTTGACCGGAGCACATTCTTAAAGGATGAGGCCAAACTGAAGCCATCCCACAAACCACATCTGGACCTCATCTGGAAGGACAGCAGTGCTAATTTAGATGATCAAAACAATGCCAGTTCAGAAGAGGATCCTGAGGAATTCGCCAAGTTTCGTCCCCCCTCAATGAGCAGACGTTCAGCATCACTCCCAAGTGTTTCTGATGAAGATCTTGAGGAGGACATGGGAAGATTTAAACTTGAGGTAGGGGTGCTGAAGGTTGTCTTCCAGGATTTGGAGAAAGAAAGGGCCCAACTCCAGAAAGAGGTAGAGGATGGCCGCCCCTCCTATAGTCTTGATCGCCTCTTTCTCTTCATTCCATCCATGTTCTTCATTTCATTTCTTTTAGTCAGCGGTTTTAAATGGCCCAAACTAGCCATGCATCCTATTTTCATTTTTCAACTTCTTGATAGCCATTTTCTTTAGGTTTGACTTTAAGTTGAAGTGTCCATCTTGCATGTTTCTCTGTTTATTTATTTTGTGTCTTTTTAACTCACATGTCAAATTGAATTGCTGTTGGTTGAAAGTCACATGCACTGCACTCCAGAAAAGATGTTGGTTGTTTGGCATTCTTAATACTCCTGCAACACTAAACAAAGTTTATGGTGCGTTCACACCGGACGCGATGCGAATAATCGCCCGAGTTTCACCGTGGCTGTCAGTTGTGTTTACTCGCGTCATTCAAACAAGATGTGCTGGCGACGAGGCGGGGCTTATCTTTAGGTAGATACTAGGGCTGTGCAATTAATCGTATTTTAATCGCGATTACGATTATGGCTTGCGACGATTATGAAAACAGCATAATTGACAAAATACGATTATTTTGCTGGGTGCGCTTTCGCCCCTCCCTAAAAGCCCACTCGGCCACGTGGGAGTGACATGTGTTGTGAGTGTTCAGCGCGAGCGAAGATGTCAGAACAAGAGCAGCAACTCGTTAAAAAGAAGGGTACAACTATTTCCACTATTTGCAAGTACTTTGCCATTACATTTCAAATCGCTAAAGATATGTGCCCAGTTAGCAACCAGGGCTTTAAGCAACTTGTCAACACGTTGGACAAGCGTTACGCGATGCCGTCTCGGTATTATTTCAGCAGGTCTGCGCTGCCTGCACTATATGACAAATGCCGTGGGGAAGTTGAGAGAGATGTGGCTTCAGCCAGGCCCGGACTGGCCATCGGGAGGACCGGGAGGTTTCCCGATGGCCTGGCCTGCTAAGTGGCCTGCTGGCCTGAGGATTTTTTTTTGCATGTATGTATTGTGAACGCAACGCTGCGCAAATGTGGGTCTGACTCTGCCTCACAGAGGGTGACTGGCTGTCTACATGATGTGGCCTGCCGACATGGCCACTTTCATACAGATCATACACTAAAGCCCTCGATTGGTCTGTGTGTCATTCAAGCTCGGGAGGGTGTGTGTTAGTGGCGCGATAAAGCGCGCGCACCGGTTACTTGTATTGTTGTTAGCATCTGGTGCTAGCTAGCTGCGCTAATGGATATAAGGATCTTTTTCAACAACAAGGTGGAGGAGAGTCCTCTCCTGTCAGACTGAGAGACTGATAACTACAGCTCAGGTGAGGTAAAGGACTCTCCGAGTGTTTAGATAGTTAACTTAGTCTAAGTTATCTCTGTGGGTCTCGAAGGGTTTGGTCACCATTTATGTAAACACATATTTCCATTTGAGGGGGGAGTGATTGGTAAAATATGCATGAATAATACAAAAAAAAATTTAACTAGGTGAAAAAAGGTAAGATAAACTTGTTGAGAGCTAAAACTAGTCTTTGCTGCTGCCTCAAAGAGGAGCAGGGGGAGAGGAGGGAGACAGGTGAGGCTGGTTCAGGAGCACAGACACACTCACAACTATAAATGAACCAAAAACAAATAAATAAACAAGTTTCAATGTTTTTTCATATTGGATATGGTATGTTATTAGTTATGGCCATGTTTTTATGATTATTGAAATGTATACAGTTCTGTTTCATATGGGTGTAGTCTCTTTATTTCCCCCTCAAAATGCACCAGATTGATGCATTTAAGTCCAACATTTTTAAAAAATCTTACCGGGGAGCATGCCCCCGGACCCCCCTATAGGATTTGAGGTCCACCTCCACTTAAAATATGTTCACATAGGTTCCTAAATAGATTTGCACATTTTTTTAAATAGTAACCCATGTCCATATGTTTATTTTTGGGTAGTAGATTTAGAGGGCTATCACTATGGGCAGCAACGCTGTAAAAATTGACAAATAAAACTGGTAGTGGCCTGGCTGGGTGTATAATTCCCGGCCTGACTTATTGTCCCAGTCCGGCCCTGGCTTCAGCTGACTACTTTGCTACCACAACAGACCTATGGTCTAGCCCAGGGGTGCCCAACCAGTCGATCGCGAGATGTGTCTAAAAAAAGAACAACAATATTCTGTTTTATCGTTAATGTCCTGTAACATAATCTTCCTGTGCCAGAATAATGCACTTGAACGCATCAAAGCTTTGTGATTGGCCGGCGTCACCCCATGTGTCGGGGCGTGGCTGAGGGTCTTCAGTACAGGTGGCAATATCGTCACCTGCCTGCGCTCATCTCTGAAACCAGGCCATGTAAACAGGCTGGTGTTTCTTGCAAAAAATCTTTAAGAGGTGACATGAGCAGCCCTACCAGCATTTGCCATGGTGGCCTAAACATTTTTATTTGGTCTTAAATTGTAGTTCAACATTTATTTCCTGTTACTTCTGGACCATGACGGTTGGCCAGCCTTCAACGTTTAACTGAGTGGAATATGTTGAATATGTTTTACCAAAATGTTGGCTATATGTTAAGGAGTTTTCAGTAGGTTGTGACAGTGCACTGCATCATATTTGATTTCATTTATTTTGGTCTAATTTATTTGTATTTATCATATTAATAATATATGTTTAGTATGGTTTTGGAAGTGCGCTCCAACATATTTGTTGATCTTGTTTATTGGTAAAATATTATTTGTTTTAAAGTTCAATAAATGGTCAATGAATAATCGTCAAAAATAATCGTGATATCAATTATTGACCCAAATAATCGTGATTATGATTTTTGCCATAATCGCACAGCCCTAGTAGATACTATGGTAGATAATCAGGCCAATCGCACCGCGTCAATCTATCCGCGTCTTTGCATTCACTTTACATATAATCGCAAACCACGCATCGCCTCCGGTGCGAACGTACCATTATGTGTTCTTTAGGACTGATTTGTCCTTAGTTCTGCATGAAACTTGCATGTATCTTTAAGTTGACTGTTTGTTTTAACTAAGTGATGTTGTGTGATGATTGAATGAATAATGGCCTTCTTTTCCACAAAAATAAGTGCTTTCTTTGCAGTTTGCTGGATCTGTTTTGTTTTTTTCTTCGTGATATGCTTAAGTTATACTGATTTCCAGGGAAGAAATATATTTATATTTCAGCCATCCTTTTGTAGAGTGTTTTGATACCTCCATGGAAATACAGCATAGAAAGAAATACACTTTATTTACAGACAGTTTGTCATTGTAATTATTGGATAGAATATCTGAATAGTGTGTGAGACGGACGTGTTTAAGAGAAAGTAATACTGTATTGTTGAGCTCATTTGCAATAAGTAAAGAACCTTTGACTTCAGCTTTTTCTCAGTTTAGGTATGCCAAAGTAAGAATTGCAATGCATGGAAAAATGCATCCCTGTAATTTAACTTAAAATAGCATGTCAAATAGAGTAACCACACCAAGGTGTTAGGTCTCCAATGGGAGGGGTGACACTAAATTATGTATGACAAAGTGTACAAGTCCCTGCTTCAAAATGCATCTTAAAAAGCCTGGCCCCAACCTGTTCCAGTTGGGAATAATCCCTCAAGTCCTGTTATTTAATATCAAACTTTTGATCTTTTCAGGTTGGCAAAGACACCAGAACGACTGCAATGGAGGTGCACAAATCCAGTACCTCTTGGGATTCTGGTGGAACGGCATTGGAAGAAGTGGGCACTGAGAAACCTGAGACCAGGTTAGGAGGCATGTCAATTCCAGCGGGAGCAATTCATCAGGAGAAGCCGCCTGCAGCCATCAAGAGGTATGCATTCATTTCTCTTGTACATTGTTTTCCACTGACATTCATCACAAGCACATGTTAACCCTTACAATTTCAGAGTCACATGCTCCAAAATTGAGTATGATATTACCTAAAAGCTAGGATGTTACTTGTGTGTGTAGTTGTCCTGTAAATCATTTCATAAGTCTTATAAGTTTGATAAATGTTTTTTACTGAAACTACATTTATTTTTCAATGACGCATTCAGCAGAGAGTTGAACTTTATTTTATTGATTCTATTTGATGAGGTTTTCTTCAGCAAAACCTCCACAAGGGCCCTGACGCGGAGAGGTCACAATTTATTTATTTTGTTTAACAGTTTTTATTGAGATTTCCAAATCAGAGAAAATATACATTCAATAGCATTGCATACTACCCCTCCATCCCACCAGTCCCCCCCACCCAACCCTCCCCACCCATCCCCTTGATTCCAGATCTGAGATGTCACAACGTATTGACTATCAGGTGTATTGCTCTCCATAGCACCAACGAGGCACCAGTGCAATTGCGTCTCCCGCTCCAGCAGACCTACAATAGCAGCAAACAGGAGGGACCAGCTGTAGAGGAGACCCTACAGCTGGAGCTGGTCCGAGGGGCCTCGCGCAGCAGAGCCCCTCAGACCAACGCTCATGTCAATGGAGATCCTCTCTCTGTGTTTGACGATAGCACATTAAGTGAAGTGTCGGACGATGAAGGAAGGTATATATGCAGTATCAATTTCACCTCTCTGTCACTAACTCATAAGGTGTGTTCTGACTGAAGGCAAAGTGAATTATACAGGAAGCACGAATGTGTGGAAAGTCGATGGAAAGAAGTGATCGGATGTGAACAGTTACAGATTCGCTCTAGGGAGAGAAAATGAAGGTCTCTAAAGGCCTTTCTGTAACCTGTAGTCGTTAACTTAAAGCAGGGGTCGGCAACCCCTGGCACGCATGCCACCATTGGCACTCGGCACCGTAACCAGTGGCACACTAGGAATAAGTGGAATAAGTGTGCAAAATATTTTAATTGTATTTTCGGATCCTGAACGAGACCGCCGCCACAGCGCGTCTCCCCGTTACCTGCAGAAGGAAGCCATGCACGCAACGCAGCCCCGCTATCTTTAACTCCAGTCGACTGCTGCTGCTTTCCTCCGTGGGGAAACGATCAGGGGTGTAGTGCTGCCGGAGCGCGCCCGCACTTCAGACATTGCAGTAGGCTACCCATAAGGAGTTGTACAAATGCCGCAGTTTTTGCGTGGCTGTGTCTTTAGTTGAAAGCCCAGTGGCGATCTGCTCATCTGTCATCAAAAATAATATGCTACACAGGGGCGGACTGGCCATCTGGGTGTTCTGGAGAATCACGGACGGTCGTCATTATCATTATGCCCTTTAACCCAATTATTTAAATTTGTTTAAACCGCATCATGTAAGTTGCGCTGACAGGTGAAAGAGGTCCACACACTGCTTCCCCCCGCCCTCCTGTCGACAGTTCACGAGCGCCGAGCTCTTCGCCACCCGTTGAAAGTTCAAGAGCGTTGGCACACTGATTTTTTTAAATGGCACTTCATATCAAACAGGATGCCGACCCCTGACTTAAAGGGACAGTTCGACGTTTTAAAAGAGGGTTGTGTATAAGGCACTACCAAATTCAGTGTATTACCTCCAGTATATTACCTTCAATACCTTCAGTAACAGATACAACTGAATAGGGAACATTAGAGAAACCACTGGAGTTGTTGGTAAGTTTAGATCATGTTGCATTGGTAGTTGTTAACATTTGCTTTGCATTCAGTCTAAACAAACTTTCTCAATACCGGTGGTGGGTGATCAGTAGGAATACATTTTCCTTCCTACAGTACATAGGTGCATGACTAACCAATGATTTCCATAAAAATGAATAGTATACTGCATTATACCATTACACTTTCAACAAGTCTGCAATGCAGCTATCATAGCTTGGGAACAGGCAAATCAGTTTTTCAAATAACCCCTGTTTTAATTCTCTGGGCTCAGGTTTCCAGCTAGTGGACAGCAGAGAAACAAGGTAAAAGACACATTTGCTTATTAACTTGTAGCTGGAAGTTTGAGAAAGTGAATCATATTCCCAACCGAGCTGTTTCCATATGCAGAATCCTGAAGAAGTGGAGATGGCAGAAGACTTTGATGAACTCACTCAGTCGTCGGACACGGCCACGGACGACTCTCCCACTTCAGGCTATCGCCACGCATCCCTCCTCATTCAGAAGCTGGACTTAGCCACTTTGGGTACTGATTCAAATGCTAACATACATATAATTAGCTAAATACATGTAGGCAATCCACCTTTGAAAGAGACTTGCAATATTATATCCCTAGACTCGGTGAAGCTGCAGAACATTTTCCACGAGTATGAGCGCTCCATCCAAAAGGCAAGGAGTCGCCATGGATACCTGTCAGACAAGGTGAGCCAGCTGGAAATGGAGAGGGCGGAGTTGAACAGCTCTCTGGAAGAAGTTAAAGATGTGAAATCGGCCTTGGAGCGCAACCAGCTGGAGCTGCAGTCTGAAGTCCCAAACCTCAAGTGAGAGCAACTTCCTTTCCTAGAACGACAGCTTCCTGTAGCCGTTTCTTTACATGCTCTTGCTCTCTCTTGTCATATTTGTGTGCAGCATCCGTCATGTGATGGCCTAATTTATGGATCTTTTTTTAATTTATTTAAAAACTATATTTCGTCTGAAACTTGCTATAGATTTCAGCTGAAACAGGAGCAGGAACATCGCCGCAACGCCACCATGATGTACAACACGACCAGAGACCAGCTTAGAAGGATGGAGGAGCAGCACCAGGTGGAGGTGCAGGACAAGCAGAAGGTGGAGCTCACCCTCAGGAACCTGGAGCTGGAGATGAGAACACTGGTCAACAGCATGAAGCAGGTACACCATCTTAAACTCCAATTGTTTTCTGTCGGTGTGGGACCATTTTTCTTTTTATTGTATTGATGTTGGCTAATGTCATGTTAACCATATCACATTATGTTTTAAAATATCTTTAACTAAGCTTTAATGTTTAGATCATTTCACATGTTTTGTATGATGCTTAATACTCATTATTAGGCATTAGTTAGAGCTTATGATGATGTAATGAGATCAGCTTTGTTTGGTGTAAAACAGATTGATGCATTAGTTCACATGTGTCAAACTCAAGGCCCGGGGGCCAAATCAGGCCCGTGGTGGATTTAATTTCGGCCCGCAGGATCATTTCTAATTACTATTAGATCTGGCCCACTGGTATATTGCACGCACACCTTCACTCCATCCTGAGGGTTTCCTCAGCTCAGAGCCTGAGCCCAAACATTGATGAACTTGCACCCGAGATGAGACGCCAAGTATCTGCTTGAACTAGCATCACAGAGCAGCACACTGACTTTAATGGATGTTTCCTTCTGCACTTTCTTTCTCACGACAACAGGGCGTGTTTGGTTTGTTCTTTGAGGGGAATAGTTTTTTTGAAGCTGTTGTTGGCCTGTGGAAAAATGTAATCATAAGAAATGACTCCGGAAAAGCTGCAGATAGAGCCATGAGAAATTAATGCAACTGATTATTTAATGTTTAATGTTGTTTTTATAGGCAATAATTTAAGCTTTGTTAGTTCCAGGTTTAATATGTGCAATAAGTTCATTTCAATACGTTTTGCAATAAACATTGAACCAGTCCGGCCCTCGACTAGTACCCATTTTTTTTATTTTGGCCCACTGTGTATTTGAGTTTGACACCCCTGCATTAGTTGATTATATGTTATTTACTCCCAGCTTGAAGAGGACCACAGTGAGACCCAGAGACTGCTCGCTCAGGAGCGCAGTGCTCGGACGCTGCAGGAGAATCTGCTCAGCAGCCATCTCCGTAAGCAGCAAGAGATAGAGCACGAGAACAAAATAAACATCAGCAAAAGCAATGAGGTAATCTTCACACAGTGATATCCATCATTTTAGTTTGTTTATATGGTTTATGTATAACCATGGGATGTTGTGTTTCTTTATATGTAGCTGGAAAGGAATATTAAAAAGGTTTTGAGGTAGACTCTTAATGCAACATGTGAAATTATTAGACTTTCAAATTCAAATATTTTCCTATAAATTCTATTTTGAATTTTTATTGTAATTTGGGAATTTAATGGTAAAGTTTACAGTTTTTTCCTTGTGTGTGTGTGTGTGTGTGTGTGTGTGTGTGTGTGTGTGTGTGTGTGTGTGTGTGTGTGTGTGTGTGTGTGTGTGTGTGTGTGTGTGTGTGTGTGTGTGTGTGTGTGTGTGTGTGTGTGTGTGTGTGTGTGTGTGTGTGTGTGTGTGTGTGTGTGTGTGTGTGTGTGTGTGTGTGTGTGTGTGTGTGTGTGTGTGTGTGTGTGTGTGTGGTGTGTGTGTGTGTGTGTGTGTGTGTGTGTGTGTGTGTGTGTGTGTGTGTGTGTGTGTGTGTGTGTGTGTGTGTGTTTTAACGCAACATGTTTTTTTTCCTGTCTGTAGGCTTTGTCTCAGCTCACTGAGGCCAGTGACAGGGAGAGGGAGCTGCTCCAGCAAACTGCCACCTTCCAGGAGCAGCTGAGCATCCTCAGAGCAGACCTGGAGCGTTCACAGGCCAACAGCAGTCTCAAAGAGAGCCACCTTTTGGAGGAGAATGAACACCTCAAAGAGCAGCTGGAAGATGCTCGTCGAGATCTTAAACTCAACAGTGAAGCCTTGACCCAAACTTTGTTCAACTGCAATAACCAGCTGACCGCCTTGAAGTCTGAGTTTGCTATGACGTCAAACCGTCTGGAAAACGAGCGACAGACTCGCGAAACGCTGGACGCAGAAGTCGATTCCACTCGTGTCCGCCTGGCTGGAGCCGTAAAGGAGGCGGAGCTTTGCCTGTCAGCTCACACAGAGACAGAGAGAGCTCTGCTCCGGGAGAGAGAGGAACACCAGCGTCTTAAGGACAGACTCACAGGTTGGTAGAGGTAGAAATGGATGGACAGCTCCAAGACAAGTTGGGCTTTATTTCAGACTAATTTCATGCTTGGAGACCAGTGGCGGCGCTAGGGGGTGGCTACTTGGGCTCAAGCCCCGGATGTTTTCTGAAAAGCCCCGAATGTTTCACGTAAAGCTCTTAGTCTGTGTTTTATTGTATATGCAGACTTTTATTATGTGCATCTTTGTGTCCTTCCATCTTTTTACTTCACTGAGATATGTTCTTTTAACTTACTAGCCTTTCACATCAACAGGTGAAGTAGCCAATCAACGTGAGTCAGTCAGCAGCCTTTCCCAGAAGCTGTCCAAGGCAGAGACTCGTGCTAACAGCCTGGAGAATGAAGTTCACCGAGCCACACTGCAGCTGACGGAGAAAAGCCTCCTGCTGGACGTCCTGCAGCGGGAGAAGGACCAGGAGGCTGCCCGGGTGAAGGGTCTAGAAGCGGCCCTGCAGGTGAAGGAGGAGCAGGTGAACCGTGCCGGAGCACGGCAAGAGGCCGCACAGGAGCGGCTAGCCCAAACCCAGAGTGAGAGCATGTTACTACGGCAGCAGCTAGAGGAGTCCCAAAACAAAGGCGTTGCAAAGGAGCGTGCAGTGACAGACGCCCACGATCGTTTCAGTGACCTCCTGTCCCAGCTGCGCTCCGACAGCGAGGAGAGGGTACAACTAGTGGAGGAGAGAAGCAAGGAGCTCGCCAGTAAGGCTGCTGAATTCCGAGAACAGCTCTACAAGAATGAGGAACTGAGGAGCGAAAGAGAGGTAAGATCAGGACATTAACCTCTTCCACCAGATTCATAGTAAGCCTTTTTCCAGAATGCCGGTCTTTATCTCTAATCTGCTTTCTTTGGATTCTGTCTGAACGCAGACTACCTTAAGGCATCTGCAGCAGGAGCTGGCTGACTCACTCAAGAAGCTGTCAATGAGTGAGGCTACTCTGGAGGTCAACACACGCTATCGCAATGACCTGGAGGAGGAGAAGGCTCGACTCTTTAAAGACTTGGAAAGGCTCAGAGGAAAGGTAACAGCAGGGAACAGTGCCACCTTGTGGTGTCATATCATCACCATGTCTCTGATGTCAAGCTGATTAGATGGCTTACTGTCACAATTTGAGGTAAACTGACAGTTAGGTCCACTGTTAACATTTCTGACGATACAGATCGGATGCTTTGTCTCTGACTTGTAGCTGGAGGAAAGCGAAGACCAGTATGTTCAGGCTGAGAGACGCATTAACAGTCTGAAGAGCAGTCTGGATGAGAGGGAAAAGGAGCTCTCCACCGCTGTTCAGAAGCACCAGGAGGCGCTGTTAGCCTCGGCAGCTTCTGATACCACCATCAAACAGCTGGAGGAAGCTATGCAAAGGTATGTACACACACACACACACACACACACACACACACACACACACACAGGAGTGAAAGATAATGAGTTGATTTTAAAACAACTCAGAAATACTTATATATATATATTCTATAACTGTGTTAAAAAGTATTGTCAGGAAATGTTTCGGTACACAGTATATGAATATATGTGATGCAGAGTGTCAATGTTACGTCTCATTAGGTTGGAGATAGAGAACGCCCGGCTGGAAGCTGCTGCAAAGCAACAGGCCAACAGAATTGAAGCTCTTCAGAAAGGGGCTCAGGAGTCTGCCATGGTGAGATGCTTTCACACACACATTTTATACAGGATCTCACTGGCGCCATATATCCTTTTTGTGTGACTTAAATAGCAAAACTCAACATCTCAGTATGGTGATTCTTAGAGAAATCTCTCTGACATCAAAAAGCTGGCGTTACATTATGAAGTCATTAAGGTATCACATTTTTTTCCAGCAATCCGACTGCTCGCCTGGAGAAGGGGTTGGTATTGTGGATTTAGGCTTAGTCCCACTGTGTTGGTTTACCTCTGTCATTTCTTTTTATTACTATACATAACAACGTAAATCATATTTGATCTATTTACAGAGTGACATTCACTTGGGCTTCGTGGGTGTTTTGCTAGACCAGAAATCCTAACATAATCCTTATGTCGGTTTTTCTTGGTGAACTAAAATGATGGTTTCTCCCTTAAAGCCTGATTTTGGTATGTGGGTTCTGTCACTTCTTTAGGTACCACTTTACAATAAGACTAAAGGGTTTACCAATAGTTTGTAATTCATTTATTAATTAGGTTGTGAACACTTTATACATCATTAATAAGCTTTTATAAGATATGAGATAAACAGGGCGACTGTGACCGGTTGCTTGCCAAATAGTGAGCCCACATGTATCTGTACTGCTGAGCCTTATTAGAAATGGTAGTAACTCATTAATAAATGGTGACTTGTTTCACACTTTACAATAAGTCTGAAACAAGTTCTCATCTTCCTCACCTCCCTCACCCATGGCAGTACATCTTCCTCACCTTCCTCACCTTCCTCACCCTCCTCACCTCCCTCACCCATGGCAGTACATCTTCCTCACCTTCCTCACCTTCCTCACCTCCCTCACCCATGGCAGTACATCTTCCTCACCTTCCTCACCCTTCTCACCCTCCTCACCTCCCTCACCCATGGCAGTACATTTTCCTCACCTTCCTCACCTTCCTCACCCTCCTCACCCTCCTCACCTCCCTCACCCATGGCAGTACATCTTCCTCACCTTCCTCCCCCTCCTCACCTTCCTCACCCTCCTCACCCATGGCAGTACATCTTCCTCACCCTCCTCACCTTCCTCACCCTCCTCACCCTCCTCATCCTCCTCACCCTCCTCACCTTCCTCACCTTCCATCAAGATGGATGGGGGGGGGAATCAACTCGGTGAACAACAGATACCAAGGATGCTGGCTGATGAAGAAGACGAAGTAGTAGCCAATATAAGGCTTAGTCATCTTGCCAAATAGTGAGCCTGTGTTGATGTATGAAAACGATGTTAACCTAATTATAAACCCTTTATGAATCCTTTATAAGGGTGGTCTTATTTTAAAGTGGTACCCTTCTTCATGTCTCACTCTGCCTGATGCATGCTACTACATTTTAATCAAACTATCCTCTCACTTCTCTTGATGAATGATAAACAGACAACAGGAACACACACAAATATGTTTACAATGCTTTTACTATTTGTGTAGGTGAGAGGTCATTTGGAGGAGTTGGTAACAAACCTCCAAAGCAGTAAGATGACTTTGGAAGACCAACTCAATCGAGAGGTTGGTGGCATATTTATTTCCTTACTCGAACAAAAAAATCTGCTTCTAACTTCTTCTGGTTTTTAATCTATGTAAAGAACAACCAGAATGAGCAGGGAGTTCTTACATTTTTGAGGAGACGGCCAAAAGGGAAAGAATCAAACATTTCTAAAGAATCTTTTTTTTATTTTTTTTAACCAAACAGGAAACACTATTTGAAAAACTAGGAAAACTGTTTTCGTTGTGAACTTTTCTAGAAAGCCTAAAGTGTGAAACTATTGAAGCAAATCATTTCACTAATTTAAATAAATAAGAAGAAGGTTTCGGTTTCTAATTTTTAGACTTCTCCTACTGATACATTCGAATTAAACAGATTGTTACAGGTGAGAAGAACAATAGGCTGTAACAATCTGATTGGAACTTCCTTTTATAATGTTTATATACAGTACATTGTATATATAATAGGGATGTAACGATATATCGAATATCGCGATATCGCGATAAATAAATGTTTCAATACCGTCGTGAGACAAAATCTACCAGGTTGAGATCATCGATCTCTTTTTCAAGGGAGACCTGTCCAACATGGCAGCAAGTAGGTTACAACATGAACATAAAACAACAGATAACACAAAAGGACATCGTATTTACAGGGCTACATGTACACACCTAGAGACATTGACAAGTACCAACAGTATTTATATCTCGCCCTGTCAATAAGCCTCACCTTCTTGGCAAAAACTGTATTGTTTTTGAAGTGGTGGAGAGACAATGCACAGTTTGACCCACTGCTGTCACCCATGGCCAAAGCATATCTCTCTGTCCCAGCAACATCAGTACCAAGCAAGAGAGTTTTTTCAACAGCAGGGGATATTGTAAATGCCCAAACATCCCAGAAATGTGGACATGCTCATATTCCTAAAAATAACCTGTCTGAGTGAGTTTGAGTTGAGTTACTTGAAAAACTAAAGTGAAACTTTATTTATTTTATTGCAGGGTCTGATTATTATATTTTTGACACAAATACTACTGTCCTACTAAAATGCTGTACAAATCAGATTTATAATTGAATACAGAACATTTTTTCAAGTAAAAAAATATATATTTTTCAATATCGCGATAAATATCGTACCGTGGACTTGTTTTCGCGATATTATCGTACCGTGAGTTTTTGGTATTGTTAACATCCCTAATATATAATAATTAGATTTCTTGTCTTTATGTTTCTCTCTCGTAGGTCCAGAAGCAGAGCATGCTGTCCCACACGGCGCACGACTCTCAGGCCCTGTGGGAGGAGGAGCTGAAGAGCCGCTCTAAGCTGGGACTGCGCCTGGCAGAGCTGGAGAAGGAAAAGGGAGACCTCAGCACCCAGGTGACTATGACCCATAGTCATGCATTCATACGGGCCCTGAAGTTGTAGCAATCACTCCTGGTGATGTACCATCACCTGAGTCTCACAGCTACGGGCCTGCTTCCTGTGTTCCAGATGGAGATAGAGAAGAAGAAAGCCAAGAAGATCTCGGAGCAGAAGAAGGCTGTAGACGCCCGGCTGGATCAAGAGATGCAGAGAAACACAGAGCTCCAAAAAGAAATGTACAGGTGACTCCTAGCCTCCGCCTCGCACCCTCCTCACCTCCCTCACCTTCCTCACCCTCCTCACCCTCCTCCCCCATGGCAGTACATCTTCCTCATAATTAGACACAACCAGGATCCAGTAGAGCGCAGCTTTTCCTGGCTTATGTGGCTGTTATGTGTACAGTATATCTGGTGTAAGATTTTCCGTTTTTTATTTGAGATGAACCCTTATTGATGTCCACAACCTATATAATAGGTTCCCGCAGTGGTTTTTGTGTATTACATGGTCATGACCTTCATTGTTGGAGTTTGCTTTTATTGAAAGGTGTTTTTTTGTTGTTGCGATTTGGTTTTTATCTGAGCTTGTCACTTTAAGTATGAATGAGTTACATGCAGTCAAAGCTGATCACTTTGCATAGTGTACGAGTAATAACAGTGTTTAGGGAATAATGGATTCACTTTGCATATCAGTCAAGCAGTGGCGAGCCGTCAGCGCCCTCTCTGAGGGCCTAAGATATTCTACAAAATAATATTTAAAAACATAAAAAAGATTTTTTTTAAATATATATTTTTAAAAAAGATTTGTTTAGTTGTATTTTTCATTAGTTTTACCAAAATAACTTGATTTAATAAATCCTTCGAATCTGCCTGTTCAGTTTCTGTTTGAATGGGAAGTGTTAAATTAAAGAAGCTTGTCTCTGTGAGGTGAAGACAGGAGCTGATTGGTGGTCCAGCTGTAAATTCACAGAGGGCCTGTTAGGGTAACTAAATGAGAGAGTAATGTCAAATGACAGTACAATTGACCAATCATATCTTCCCTCTAAATGGGTGGGTTTTATTATGGCGGACTTTATGACCAGTTTCCCCCCCCCCCTGTAAAGCTTTTCTTGTTTCCGTAGCAACAACAACTTCCTGTCAAAAACTCGCCTGCAAAATAAAAGCATGCCATATTACACTTAAGACATACAACTGCAACGAAAGTAACAAACACAATGCAATATCCTTTTCAATTTCAAAGAACACAAATTGGGTTATCTACAGGTGTTGTTTTGTGTGGTAGAGGGTCGCTGTCATTGATGCGTTTTGCACCCCGGGCCGATGTTTTGATATTCCGCTGAAGTATACGCTGTGATGTAATAACTCTTTTATTCTTTTTCTTTTTTCGAGGGAAGGGGTGGGGGTCAGAGGGCCTAGGTATAAAAGTCACAGCTCGCCACTGGAGTAAAGCTAATGGTCTTCGAGTATACCACTTGTATTAGTTTGCTACTTCATTTCAAGTTGTTTGCTGGTCCTCAAGAGTGGAGTGCACCAGCTGGACGTAAGCTGGGCGTAACTCTACGTCCGACGTAGAACCGAAGGTTAAGACCAAACTAAAGTTATGACTAGTGCACCACTTAGACTTAAGCCCTGTATGTGTTGCGCCCGGGTGTAACTTTTACGCCTAGTATGGAGCAGGCGTAAATCGGAAAGAGAGACTAGTATCCATAGTAACGTAAAACAGGCAAGAATGAAAATAACTGGCAGTGCGTCTTATTTACATGTTGTAACAACGAAAGGGCATTAAGACGAGAGAGTCGTCCGTGATCGAACAAACCCACTGGATATCTATTCAGTGAGCTGATAGAGAGGTTTCGTTTTGGCAGACAAGCCCTTTTTGATTTAATCGAGGAGATCTCCCCTCAACAACAGAACGGATCAGACAGAAACGCTGCGCTCTTCCCAACCTTGCAGGTGCTGATTGCGCTCAGATTTTACTTTAATACTGTGGGAGACATGATTAATGTTCATCGCACAACTGCATGTCGGGCTATTAGACAAGTTTCCTTGGCTCTCCAGCGCCGCCTTAGGAATTATATTCACTTACCAACACAAGAAGAAGCAGCAAAATCCTCCTGGCATCCGTGAAGATATCGGTGGACGAGTTAACTACAATCACATAATAAACAACATATAGCCCTGTATATTTGTAATATGAACGCTGTTTTTTTGCAATTGCATTTCAATAAGCTCCCATTGTGACCACATATTTTCATTAGGCCGTTTTATAGCCTATTTTATTCAAAAAACACACACAAGAACATTAGATAACATTTGGAGAACTATTAACATGGCATTGAGATAAAAACAAGTACAACAAATATGATTAGAGAATGGTGAATGACAAATTGTCTTCTTCAGTGATTCTTTGCTGATTATTAAGAATTATAATTTTGAGTCTTAATTTCTCCTTCTCCAGCTCAATTTTGTCATGTTCCGCTCTCAGTTTTGCGGTCTCCACCTCCACACGAACGATCTCTTTCTCCACCAGTTCACGCTGTAGCTCTGTAAAATCCCTCTTTCTTTTTCGGGGTGTGGGCGTAATTTTTCTCTTCTTTTGGTTTCTGTTATCCATGACTTCGTTATCCAAGTCTTAGTTTGCTCTGAATGGAGGAGTTTGAGTATTAAATTATGTAGACGTGTGTTGCTTGGCAACAATTACTGTTTCGCGTGTATTCACGTGGACGCGCATCTTAAGACCAGGCGCAGCTACGACCGAGACTAGTCAGGCTTGGTGCACTCGGTGTAAATTCAAATCACTAAGTCGGATGTAGCTAAGCCCGACGTTAGAGTTAAGACCTACATTTTTACGCCCAGCTGGTGCACTCCACTCCAGAAGAAAGGTTTGTATTAGATATTTTCTTTTTTATTTATTACTATTAATGTTTACTTATATTATTTGTGCATATGTGTTTAAGGTTGCGTACTTTAGTGAAGACTGCCAAGAAGAAACTGCGGGATCAGGACACCGGTGGAGCGGAGTTTGCCTCTCCTCTGGGCAGCCTGCGGGTGGAGCAGGGCAGACACAGCCAGGCCGAGGGGGCGATTGGCCGGATGAAAGAAAGGGTTTGTCTGTCAGCACTCTAATAGTAAAGTTTGAGTCCCTTAGACGTAGTGTTATTCCTCAGACCTCGGCCTCTGTCTTTTCTAACCAGGTGGACGATCTGCAGGTACAGCTTGAGAAGGAAGCGTCCCGCCGCAGTCAGCTGGAGAAGGTGAACGACGACCTGAAGGATCAGCTGTCCTCCCTGAAGAGCTCGAGCCGCAGCAACGAGCAGCTGGAGAGGAGTAAGAGGCAGCTGGAGGAGGAGGTGCTGGACCTTAGACGGCGAATGGAGGCCGTTCAGATGGAGCAGAGCCAGGTGGAGCAGTACCGCCGTGATGCCGAGGAGAGGGCCCGTCAGGAGATCCAACAGAAACTGGAGCAGGTCAACGTCTTCCTGCAGGTAAAGGCCAATATCAATTAGTTATTATGATCAATGGCCTTCTACTTCTTAAAGGTCCCCTATTATACTGTTTTTCATCAATATATTATAGGTCTCAGATATATATACAAAACATTCAGGTGATAAGGATGGGGGGGGGATTAGGGGGTTACCTTCGTTGGTGATTGGCTAATGGTCACACAAGCCAAACAAACGTTATGACATCATAAAGTGGCCAAAATCTGATCAGCTCATTTTCAGACAGGTTTTTATATAAATGGATCAGGACAAAAAGAGAGAGAATCTTTTTTCCTGAAACTTTCAGAATCTCTTTCCACAGAGGGGACACAAGTTGATGTATAAAAGACACGAAAAAGTGGATTTTGCATAATAGGTGACCTTTAAAAGCTGATGATGAACATATTGTCTTTCGATAAAGAAATGCACTGTGTCTAAGTCTGATGTAATATGTATCTGTTTATTCCTCAGTCCCAGGCAGCATCCCAGGAAGCGTTGGATCAGATCAAAGCGGCCAATGAGACCAACCTGCGCTCCCAGCTGGAGCAGAAGATCCGGGAGTTGGAGGGGGAATTGAACCGGGCCCGCACCACCCATCATGACAGCCTCAACCAGAGAGACTCTACCCGCACGGAGCTGGAGCGATACCACCAACTCTACGCCGAGGAGCTGCGGGTCCGCAAGTCCCTCGCTGCCAGACTTGAGAGGTGAGACCAGCTTGCTCTGTGGTTTTGTAGGGGGTCAGTCTTTAACACCTGATTGGATAGATGGATGGATGGATGGATGGATGGATGGATAGATAGATAGATGGATAGATGGATGGATAGATGGATGGATGGATGGATGGATAGATAGATGGATAGATAGATAGATGGATGGATAGATAGATAGATGGATGGATAGATAGATAGATGGATGGATAGATAGATGGATAGATAGATGGATGGATGGATGGATGGATAGATAGATAGGTACTTTATTGTCCCAATTTGGGAAATGTTTGCGTTGCAGCAGCATAAAAAACACAAGGCAATGTACATAAGAGAAACTAAGACCCAGAAATAAACAGTCCAATACATTTCAGAAATAGAAATAAAATAGCATTAAAAAGATACAAAATATATATACATGTGGAAAATATACATGTGGAAATACAAATTTCCAGTAACAAATATAATGCAGGATATTATTGTGCAAGAATGGATTATTCAATATTAAATAGAATATGATATGCTATGTGCAATCAAACGTAAATAGTGCCAACAGTAGCAAACGTGTATTTCATCAATGACTTTTCCCCCACAGGGCCAACAGTCGGCTCTCAGAAGCCAATTCCAAGCTGCTGAACGAGCGCAGCCGCTCTCTGATCACCAGCAGCATCGCTAACGGAAGCCTTGGGGGGCCCACGCTGGACGTGAGCTCTCTGGGTTCACCATTACACTACGGGGCCACACTGGGGCCCCTGAACAGGAGTCTTGGCCTGGGACTCTCACTCCTTAACCCTGTAACGGACGGGCACAACAGCAGAGTCGAGGACTACCTAGCAAAGGTCTGTATGGTTATTAATCCACTCACATGGTGATGACGGTTGCATCTCTCTAATGGATACAAGTTCATTTACTTTCAGCCATTTTCATTTCCATAGTGTCGTTGGTTTTCAGTTTTCTTTGTGAAATTGGTGCCATTTTTTTCAAAGATGTTGGTTTAATACACTGGTTAGTGTGTTGTTACATTGTCATATTAACTACAGAAATATATTATGCTGTGGGTTTTTAGGTCCACACATTAGATATTTCTGATTGAGGAAAAGCATACTAAAAAGCTCAACTATCAAATGGCTTTCTGAAGTCTAATAACACCTGTCTTCCCTCTGAATTTTCTACATTTCTTCCCCCTTGTTCTTTTCTTTCCTTGCTCCTGCACATTTTTTTCTTCACTCTATCTCTATCCTTTATGGTAGTGGGACTTTACGTCTAACCTGTCTTCTATTTCTCACTCTTCTAGCTTCTAGCTCAAAAGTCTGTCTCTCATCTCTCCTCTCTTCAGCCAGACCCATAACCAGGTGTGTAGATGTGTTTAGCTCAGTGTCCTATTGGCTGCTGTGAAGGGATGCACAGATTCAGAAACTCTTGACACATGCTGGCATCCTTTACTGTTTCAAGTCATGCCAGAGTAACCAAAACCAAGTCTGGCTGCTACTAACTAAATATCATCGGAGGCACTAACCTGGTCAGCGGCCAATCAGCACATTTTTCAATCGGGCCGATAGCAGTCAAAATGGTGGGCACTAATGTTCGGCCAATAAATCAGTGCATCCCTACGGGTGTTCCCTCTAACCTGCTGTGGGCCTACATTTCTGTTCCCATACTTCCCATCATGTTCAAGTTTTACATAGCATACAAATATTGTTAGGGTTAGGAATATAAAAGTATATTGAGTGGATGGAACCAGTTAAGTTACAGAAAATGTTCATATTTAGGAGCTTTCCCCATGTATGTGACCCGCTCTATCGAAATCAGTCGGAAGTCGCAACGGCTCATTTCAAAATAAACGTGGATTTGTGTAAAAAACTAGTTTTTCGGGGGTTTGATTTTAAATAAACAAAGTCTTGGCTTTCAGAATATGAAACTTTTATTGCCAAAATCTCCCGATAAATACATGTTTGAAGCTTGTAAAGGGAAGATGACAGGCATCTCTCAACTCGCACTCGGCTCTTCAGCGCCGCCCCCCTCCCTCCGGCTGAAATGATGAAGTAAAGGCGTATAGTAATCATAGATAACACGGCAGGGTCCGTTACAGTTTGTTTTCATCTGATTTCAAATAAACAAAGTCTTGGTTTTCAGAATATTAAACTTGTTTCAGCAAATTCAGATGATAAATATAACTTTGAAGCTTGTGACGGCATAATTACAAGCGGAGGACGGAGTAACTTGACGTCACAGCAGGCATAACAACAGCCGGCGTTACTCGTGAAGGTTTTCCCCGGGAAACAAATGCAAAAATACACAAACACACACACACTCGCGAGCTTCCCCCAGACCAGTAATACAAACGAAAATATGTTTCCTCCGTACTACTTTGGTCATTTATTAGCCGCTAATAATCAATCAGATCGATGGATTCTAGGGAAGAGGAAACTTTGGAGGCCTTTTTCTCAAAATGATGACTCGGTTGCTTAATATTTGGAGTACAACAACAATCCTGATATCATTAGAAAGCTAGGAATCTCCTCTTTACAACAGTGTATATAACTCAAAATGTGTCTTCGGGTCAATGCAGGTCACACATGTGTTTTAAATCACATTGGTCCTTATTATTGCAGAGCTTTTCCCTTCTTCATCTTTCAGGAATTGCCTTCTTAAGGGCAGAAACTCCACCTACCCTAAAGCAGAGCGTACATGCTTGGCATTTCCTGCTGTGTTTTACAAACTAGTCATGATTTGTTTTGCAGTGGTTTGTCTTCACCATCCAATAGGGCTGGGTAATATGGAGAAGATACAGATATCGTATTTTTTTTTTACCAAATTATTTTTATTAGAATTGGTGCTTTTAATATATACACAGTTAAATGTTTGATCAATATTCATCAGTTGTGTGCATATAAGGCATGGATGTATAATAAGAACTGGATACAGCGTGGGAGGCGGGGCCTCGTTCATTTCTATGAGAGTTGCTCATTGGCGCATGAAGAACAAATGGCCCAACTTTTGAGAGAGCGAAACGTCACGAAAGTTTTCATAGAATCCGTTTTTATTGTGCATCCATGGGTAAAGGTGAATCTCATGTAGTACTGAACACGTCACATGAACGTGCCGGGCGGCGCGGTCCCGTGGGTTAGATCCGCGTTCATAATGCCGAGGAAAATAACTCAGAATAACGTTATTAGCACATTTTACAACTTGAGGACCGAATGTTTTTAATAAGGGCTATACAAACGTTCATACTGGGTAGTTTATTTAGTTTTTAAAAAATTATCCAATGATTTACAGACGTCTCTTTCCCAATGTTAGTCAATGGGAAAAAGTCTTTCCGGGTCCAGCGACTGATACGGAAGTGTAGTACCGCCGTTTGGCCACAACGAATATTTTCCTCAGAGTCCGGCGCACTTCCTGGGGGCTTGATATAACGGCTAAGTGGGCTAAGGCAAATAATAGAGCAGTTAGAACAGTCTGGTAAATTAAAGAAATGCAATCACATCACTGGATTGCAACTTTTAAAAGCAGGAAAATACAACACTGTTATGATATCCAGAAACTTAGACAATATTTAATCTAATATTAATATATAATCTGTTTATTACCTAACCCTGCTCTCAAAGCATCCACATGTTCCATTTCCTATGGTATTGTGTTTTGTTGTAAAATATCATCCTTGCTTCTTTGTCTTTTTATTTTAAACGTGTGAAAACATTTGTTTCTGTTTTATCTCTCAACATCTTAATCTAACTGAACTTTGCTTCTTTTGTTTCCAGATGCAAAGCGAGTTGGATAGAAACATATCAAAGGAATTAAACAACGGTGAGTTCACTGAAGCTGGAAACATGGCCTACATCTCAGCTCGTAATAAAGTCTTTCATAAGATTATTGGGGATATTTTATATTTCGCTTTAATTATCTTCTTTAGTTTACATTCTCACTTCTTATATTATAACATGTATTTGTATTCCTTCTATAATGCAACAACTGTCACCAAAACACATTTCTCCCTGGGATTTTTTATGTATTTCGGATTCTGATTTAATTAATTTGATGCTAGCAGTATTTGACTTGTAGCTGCTGCTCACTCGGGTTATTAAAACAAAATTCAATGTATTTACAATTTGTAAACAGTCCCAGCTTCCTCTGGAAACTGATATGGTCACACAAAATAATACTGCTAGTTATTTTTACTATGGTGTATTTATCTGCTATTGTTTTTTACTTATTGTGTTTTTTTATTATTAATAACATTTGCCCACTTAAAAAAAAATGTTTTTAAATACGTAAGTCTATTCTCTTGACTTTATCTCCACTATACTTCTGCTGTTATCATAATGTAAATCCTCCCGTTGCAAAATCAATGAATTCTGACTCTCTCTCTCTCTCTCAGCCTCAGCAGAGCTGGACGTAGCTTCAGCCCGGATGTCCCCGGTGGGCTCGGCCTCGCGGGTGGAGCTGGACCCCGTCAGCAGGGCCACGCAGCAGTACTTAGAGGTACTGAAGAAGAACAACATGATCTGAACACACATCATCATCACTGCTGCTCGCGGACATTTTAGCCAAAAAAACCCGTCAAATTCTGACTGTATCAACAGAAGGCCAAAGCAACCGCCCTTTCTTAAAACACCATAATCCCACTTTGTACGTATTCACTCTCCTTTCTTACATGGAAGAAGCTAACATAATGCACATTGCACTTAACCACTCAGGAGCAAAGGGCATGAGTCATATGAATATATATATACATCATTGATGGGTACACTAAGAGAGAACCTCAAAAGTATTTGTTCCTTCTGTTTAATCTGTTACTCTTTGGTTTATATTAGCACAATATATATATATATATATACAGTTTTGATTTTTATTTGTGAATATTGGTTGCTAAATGTTAAGTATTTGATGTTTGCATCATTAATAATCTTGCCAAGATATTACATTTGGTACGTGCCATGAAATGGTGCAATATCTGTCTTGGTTTTACTTTATTAGACTCATTGGAGTATTGTGTTAATAATTATTTATTCATTAATATTTTTGTATGAACATGATATACTTGAATAAGACGAGCTGGAATGCTCTCTGGCTGAAACAGGGTGACTACATTTGTGTAACTCTAATTTCAGATTTGTGTTGTCTTGCTTTTTGGACCACTAAAAAGTGAAACACACTTTTTTTGTTTTTGTTAGTTGTTGTTTTTTTTCATCATTCATAAATACTGTAACAAAATACATATACATTTATGACGCCTGTAAATAACAGAAGACTGTAAAGTTGTAATTAAATACTAAAATGACAAAACCCTGAACTTGAGTGAGCTGTTGATCCTGGAGGGGCCGTTAACCACGAAAGAACATACATACATAAAATACATGTCGAGATATGATATTCAACAAACAAAGGAAAAGAAGGAAACTAGACATTAAACGTATCAAATCAATCATGGGACATCGGCTTTCTGAGGCACATTGTTTTAAAGGTCCCATGTCATGCTTTTCCGGTTATTACCCGTCCTCTTGTGTGTTATGAAGGTTTTTATGCATGTGAATGGTCTGCAGAGTCAAAACCCCTCAAAGTACACCCTGTAGAAACACAGAAAATACCTGTATGCTGCCCCAGAACGCCTCGTTGGGGATTTCTCTTTTTCCATTGTTTACTTCTTGGGTATAGTGACGTATTTCGGGTATAGTGACGTAACGTAACGGCTTGGTCCAAATGGGCCAATCCGCGGAGCCGTTACGTTTGGACCAATCCGCGGACTTCCACACACACACTCGGCGGGACGTTGCGAGGCTCGCTGCTGCGAGGAGGGGAAACACTGTGAGCTGGCTCACTGGTGTGGGGTCTGCGAGACACCGCGGAACTCAGCCTGGGCACACACACAAACTCCCAGCCAGGCTGTGGGTGTGTGTGTGTGTTTGGGGCTGGGTTTCGCTGTGTCTCGCTGTCTCGCAGACGGCCACTGGGCTCACAGGGAGGAGGGGGCAGGAGCTCCAATAAGCCATTTAGGACAGAGAGTGAATACACATACTATGCAGAGATGCTGAATGAGAAACCAATGTGAGTTTGGAAAATTGAACAACATTTATTTTAGTATACCTCAACAATGGAATTATGATCAGTAGAAATGGCCAAGACATGGGACCTTTAAATACACTTTAAAGATGAATTAAAACAAACTTTAATTGAATCATGACATTGGATAGAAAAAGTGATATCTATAACATCTGCACTATATATTTCCAAAGTGATCTTTCTCTGCCATTAAGCATAATAACTACTAATACTGGACTATCTTCAATATAATAAATGTTAATACATGCATGTCTGATTATTAAAGATGTTACTTATTATACAAATATCACATTACTAAAATAAAAATACAGTCAATAATTTACAACACGTCTTAAATGAACTGAAACAAAAGCTTTTTACACAAGTGAAAATCTATAGATTTCCGAGGATCTGACTGAACAGGTGAGTTTGATGAAATAACAGTAATATATTTGCTTATTAAATCGTTTTGAGCTGTGGAAGAAAAGTATATGTTTAGCAGTGACCCTGTTATTGTGTGCAGAACATTCTTTAGATTCCAGGTATCCTGCCATCAATATTTCATGCACAGCCATTTTTAACCCAGCCCTCATTAGCTATGTTTTGATGTACTTCACTTTACCCCCCCTTCCTCTCGCACTCCAAAACACATCGATGATATGCGCTGGTTTAGAAAGCATTCCCCTCACTTATTAAAATGAGACAATGTGTTTATGATTGCCCCCCTCTGGTGTGTCTCTCTTCCCTTTGATCCGTCCTCTCTGCGTCAGACTCAAATGTTAGATATTCAAATCTGGTTACATTTATTTTTGTTTCTTTTACAGAAGATGGGCACATCTGACAGACTGACTATTAGGTGTTATTATTTCCCCTTATTTTCTTTCAATAGACGCCACTTCATACACTACACGTAAACCGTGTTTTGATTGAGGAGGTTACAACTGTTGTCATGAAGCTTTGGAGGCGGGAGAGAATACAAATAGACAGATGCTGAAGAAAGAAAAGTGTTGAAAGGGTTGTTTTTGAAAAGCAGCTCAGGTTTAAAACAAACGGCTCCTCACTAGGTGGGTCATAATCATCAGTGATGCCCAGTCCTCTTATCTCAGACTGCCAGTCCGACAACTGATGAGAAAAAACAAGGTGTCGGTTTGTCAACTAAACAGGCCACTTTATTTATAAATATCACTGCCATGGTACCATCTCACATACTCTGACTGACGCCCAATGAAAGCATGACACTAAATAACAATATAAGAACAGTCAGACATGTTTAAAGCCGTATCCAAACAGATGCAGTTGACAGAAATGTCGACCAGAAACCAAAATGTTATCTTTATTTATTCACCTAACTGGTCATTTAAACTTAAATCATATTTCCCAGCGTGATGGGCTATATTAGGGGACTATTGTAGTTAGGGTTTCAAATACTTTTTGTTGGCCCAAAAAAGACTTGAATCGCCAAAAACACAGAGCAATTAAATGTTTATTGTAATTGTTAAAAATATAATATAACATGCCAAACACTTTTAAAACATACCAGTTTACCAACAAAACTATAAATGGGGAAGTTCAGATACTAGCTGTCTCGTCATTAATATTAATTATTAATAATACATTATTTTCTTTTTAAATGTTTTTCAAAACTCGTAACCTAATTCCATAATGTATACTTCAATATCAATAGTTTTTTATTTTTAAATTATTTTTTAAAAGTACATAAGGTTGAAACTAAGGATTTGTATTATTCATTTGTCTGCTAATTGGTTTTACATTTACAAATTATTATCTAAAATGTAAAGATGTACTGAAGATAAATTCATGTATTGTCCCATACAGAAAAAATCAACACATGTTGACAATAGGAAGGTGAACTGTGCAATACTTTTATTTTTATAAAAAATGTACTGAATTGATTTATCTATCAACAAAACAGTTTGGTTATTTTGCTGAATCAATAACAAACCAACATTTTCTCAGCTTCTTGTAACTAATAGGCTCTTTTGTTGTTTTTGTTTTACCGAAATAAAATGTGTCCTGATGTCCTGTCACTTCATCGTTTTGTTTTCAAATCAACATTTTAGTGCAAATACATACATCCATCTTTAACATATAGGTTCTGAATTGACTGACACTATCTGTGGAAGTAGACATCAGCGGCGGGGAAAGGGTTAAACAAATTAAGGGGGACAAGTGGAACAAACCTGAGTGTTTATTTGTTGCTGTGTGCTCGCCATGCTCTAAATTGGACGTCAGCGCTGTTTCTTGTCACCAGCAGAATCCAAATGTGTTGTGGGCAAAAGAGATACTTAAATTCGATTTACTCGCTCTAACATGATTTAAATGAGCCTCTTGGCTCGCCCGGACAGATTGACAGCGTCGTCTTTATCGCCGCTTTGTTTTATTTTTGGCTGTTTACTCTGCCTCTCTGCTGTCATCTCTCACGGCGACTTTAAAGGAGCCGGCTTCAATCTTCCAACATCTGGAGAGAATAAGCATCCTTTTATGTTCTAAGTGCTTTATGTGACAAATATGAAAAGGGATTCAAGAGAGAGCTGACACGTTTTCTGTCGCCCTGTTCCTCAGCTGCAAAGAGCTGCGCAGGGAGAAGTCAAACCTGCGATCTGATAACATAAGAACCCGAACAAAACTGAGCAAAGAGGTCAACCCCTCTCGTTCAGGGTCTTCCCGGGTCAAATTCATTAAATGCAACTTGATGTACAAACAAAACACTTTTTTTCTGAAGAATATAACCTGAATATTGTACAGTAAGCCCTTAAACTTTATTGTGTTTAATCCGTTTGACAAATACTTCATAGGGAGGCTGTTCATATGAATTAACTATGTCTTGTATTTGTCGCATATAGTCTACTGTAGCATGACCATTCTGAGGTGCAGCCATGTGATCAGAGACAACAACACCCCAGTATTTATGACTCTAACGCTGGCTTCAATGTTAATCACCATTGCTTACCAAGGAGATTTTAAACGCAGGACAAATGACCTTGACACATGTATTTTAATATTTCAAATGGTCCTTCAATCTATTTTCCACAGACACAACAAGGACATACATGATATATCTATAGTCATTGTGTTGACAATGATCTGAGAAGAATACACAGATGCACATCTATGATAAAGAAAATGTTTTGAATATACAATATGTTTGCACCCTCTCGCAGAGAGTTCGATAAGCACATTAACACCGGTCGGAGTCAAGGGGAAGTTAGTTGACAGTTTACCTGGTACCCGGATGTAGCTGCATATTTAATGGTGAAGTAAGATTGCTCACACTTCCTTATCCTACTCTCTGCAAACTTATTTCACATATTTCCCAAAATGTCAAACTACTCATGTTAAAGGTGGGGTAGGTAAGTTTGAGAAACCGGCTCGAGATACACTTTTTGTTATATTCCATGGAATGCTCTTAACATCCCGATAGCAATGAATATCTTAAGCGCTTTGAAAAAAAAATCCATAAAAAATGTCATCTGTGGAAGCCGTAGTACTGTAAAAAGCACGACCAATCATCTGAGCCGGCCCGGCTAAAGTAACTGGATGGCCTACCTGCCTGTCAGCCTTCCATCTGCGCACAAACTCATCTCGTGCCCTCATTGGTCATGTGCGCGTTCATGTGTGTTGGAGGAGGGGCTCTGTAATGAAGTGGCAGATTTTTTCCGGCTGTGTATTTTCAAATTCTAGCGCGCTCGAGCTGGTTTCTCCAAAATTACCTACCCCACCTTTAAGTATGGAGTTTGAGGTGATTAGCCTAGCTTAGCATAGAGACTGGAAGCATTGGAAACAGGCAGTCTGGTAAATATATATGATTCAGTTCTGTTGTTGTAGGGCTCAAATAAACACAATACGCTAATTTCCGAGTTTAAGGTGTTGGGAGTTGGATTTGTTATTTTATTAGGCCTACTCTGAAATGTTATGCTAGGCTAAAATAATCGCTACCTAGCTCCAGCTCAGTACTGAACGCAAATACAAAAAACATAATAACACAAATATTTGAATGTTTGTACTTATAATTCCCTTTACTGAAGAATAGAGTGAATCACCTAAGTAAAATCTAATGTCTTTAGACTGAAGACTAAGTGACTGTTAAAAGTTTCATTTTAGCAGCATTTGGTGTAAGAGCAATTAGTAGATAAATTGGTGATTGTGTTTTTTTAGGGCTCCATTGAATTCTCGTTGCAGTGAGAAATCCCACATTGGCTTTAATGTCTTATATGCAAGTCCTCAGGCGTCCTAGCTGCGATGGCAGATGTCGCAGCACTCCAGACAGAACTCGAGCAACTCGGTGGGCTCGCAGCAGGACTCGAACATCACCGAGTGGCAGTGGGCGTGGCAGTTCAGCTCCTCCACCGGCGCCTCCTGGATGGCCGAGCAGCAGCGGGCGCAGGCATGGCAGCAGGAGGCGCAGAAGGTGTGCAGGCAGGAGGAGCAGGCTTCCAACAGACCCAGGATCAGCACTGAGCACTGGCATGACAAACACGCCAACAGCATCTGTAAACAGGAGTCTGTGGCTGAGAGAAAATGAGACAGAGAACTGATTTACCTACAGATATCACATCTGAGGTCACGAGAGAGCTGCTGTGTGTTCTAAAAGCCTGTCAGACCCCGTCAGAAACAGGGATTAACGACTCTATTAACCCTAAATTAATCTCTTGCATGTTTATTTGTCGTGCCAGCTACGACTTAAAAGAGAAACTACTCTGCTGCAGTGATCAAGTGTGATTGTGTTTACTTAATCACAGAGCTTTGTTCAGTCCTCGGGGAAAATCAGAAAGGCCACGGAGGCTGCCAGTGATGAACAACAACGAGGAAGACGCTGTCACAAGATAATTGCTCTCCCGCCCTAATTAGGTGCAGATGAAATTGCATATATTAACCCTACTGGTGTGTTGCGGTGCGTCTCTCGTGATCCTCACTGTTGTATTGTTACTCAGCTTCGGTTTCCATCCTCACAAGGACCTGAGAGTGAGTGAGCTCATGCAAATGGAGCTGTTTTATCCTGTTTACTCAAGAAAGTAAATGAAAAGCCGATGGCAGTATTCCCTGGGGAGTTGGGTTCAGCGTTTTCCTGCTTAGCCGCTCAAATTATCCACCCCCGCACATAACTTATGCTAATATCTATATATGTGTTTTCAGATGAAAAAGGAATATAATGTGTGGATATACTGTATTGATTTAATGCATAACTTCATAGAGATAACAACATGAACACAAGGATAAACAAGGAGTGGCCCACCGCACGCTTACAACTGGAAGAAAGTGCAATAGTTTGAAAGTGTTCAAAGGGAAACTTTTTACACCAAGATTGTCTTTAGAATCAGAATCAAGTTTATTGCCTGGTATGTTTACCCATACAAGGAATTTGCTTTGGTGTCTGGTGGTGCTAACATAATCAATCTATGAAAATAAGAACTAATAGTAGGTCAAAAATATAAAGATAATAAGTACTTAAAGGTAGGGTAGGTAAGAATGGAGAAACCAGCTCGAGTGCGCTAGAATTTGAAAAATCTGCCTCTTCCTTACAGAGCCCCTCCTCAGGGCCGCCTTAATGCACGGGCTGACCTGGGCTGAAGCCCAGGGGCCTACGGAGATCGGGGGCCTATCATGAGCCAATACAAATAAAAACGTTTTTTATTTCAGATGTTTTTTTAAAATGTTTAAATAAACAAAGTCTTGGCTTTCAGATTATGAAACTTTTATTTCCAAAATCACACGATAAATACATGTTTGAAGCTTGTAAAGGGGAGAAGACAGCTCTCCCTCGCCACTCTGCTGTTCCCCTCCCTCCCTGAAATTATGAATGTAAGCGTAGAGTAATCATAGATAACACGGCAGGGTCCGTTACAGTTTGTTTTCATCTGGTTTCAAATAAACAAAGTCTTGGCTTTCAGAATATTAAACTTGTTTCGGCAAATTCAGGTGATAAATACAACTTTGTAGCTTCGGCATAATTACAAGCGGAGAACGGAGTAACTTGACGTCACAGCAGGCATAACAACAGCCGGTGTGTCTCGTGAGTGTTTTCCCCGGGAAAAAAACACAATACACACAAATGCAAAAATACACAAACACACACACGTATACACACACACACACTCGTGAGCTTTCCCCAGACCAGTAATCCAAACGAAAATATCTTCCCTCCGTAGTATTTTGATCATTTGCTCCGCTAATCAATCAGATCGATGGATTCCAGAGATTTTTCTCAAAAATGATGACTCCGTAACAGTCAGTGGGCACCACTTAACAGCCAATCAGAATGAGAATATGTTTCACATGTGACGTATTCAAATTGCGTTATCGAGACAAGCAGCTATCAGAAAAAATGCCGAAGCTTACAGGTTATTTTAAACCTGTAGGCCAGGATGAGGAGGAAGGACAGATGAGTTCTGTACCGAGCGGTAGCGGTGCCGGCCGCGGGGCCTCGGAGCCAAGTAGGCCGTCTGGTTCTGATAGCGATGGAGTAGCGGGAGAGGAAAAACAGACAGGAGGGATGTTGGAGGAGATGGAGAAGACGACGAGGACTTGCTACGTGGAGGGGAGCCAACGGCAACCGGACAAATACATGAGGGAGGCCCGATACGTCACTCATCTGGAGGAGAGAACCAGGCGTGCGTAGAGCAGAGTGGAGAAGTGCGATCACAGAGCCTGCCGAGGCTAAAAATGACTTTGATTTGTTGTTTAAATAGGGGGCCTACAAAACCTATCAGCCCCAGGGCCTGATGGCAGGTTAAGGCGGGCTTGCCCCTCCTCCAACACACACGAACGCGCACATGACCAATGAGGGCACGAGATGGAAGGCTGACAGGCAGGTAGGCCATCCAGTTATTTTAGCCGGGCCGGCTCAGATGATTGGTCGTGCTTTTTACAGTACTACAGTTTCCACAGATTAAATATTTGTATGAATTTATTGTCAAAGCATTTCATGTATTCATTGCTATCGGATATTAAGAGTATTCCATGGAATATAACAAAAAGTGTTTCTGAAGTGAATTACCTACTCCACCTTTAATACAAATAAGTAATTTGAAGAAACTGTTTAGTATTAAAAGAGAATAAAGACAAGTATTTACACCAAATTCAAATGTAAATATAAGAACCTTAAAAACTAAAACACTTAGGACAATGAATATTATGACAATATACTGTATGGCAAACTACAGTGTATTGTATTTTAAAGTGGACGGCTGTGCAGACGTGCAAAAATGTGCAAAATATAGTCAGTCAATATTTAGAAACAAATCAATTCAATGCTTTACACAATTGTTGAAACCCTCTCATTGTTACACATTCTCCCATAAGGCTAGATGATGAAGAGGTGAAATATGTTCTGTAATTGTATAAAAGTATATATAAAAAAGAAAGATAAGATTCAAGGCTTTTATTGCCATGTGTACATAGCTACAGTGTAGTTATGACAATCTTAGGTCACAGTGCAACACAATAAAACAGATAATAGTGAAAGTAAATAAAATAGAATATAATAGAAAAAGTGCAGAATAGTCTATATACAAGTAATTGGAATATTGATATAAGTTGCAAACAGATAAAGAACATAAATCGTGTGCACTGAGGTGCACAAAGTATTTAGTTAATATTGTTATCAAGATAAATGTGACAATTTATCTATTATCAATTTTAGATCATTCAGTCCGATTAAAAACAGTAAGTAAATAAGGCCCATGATTGCACTCACCAGCAGGAGTAGCAGTGGGGGGATGTGATCCTGCCCCCCCGCTCCTCCTGCTGCCCCCGCTGTGCACCGACAGGCCCTGCAGCAGGGAGGGGGGGGGGCCGCCGGGGGTCTGTGGAGGAGCGGGGCAGCTGGTGGTCCGGGGCTGTGAGGCCACATCGTGGGCAGGTGGGCTTCTGGAGGTCACACTGAGGCCTCTTAAGCCCCGCCCCCTCCTGTGAGGCCTCGGCTCCTCGGGCTGCAGCGGGCTGAGGCTGGGCTGCACAGAGAGGGGAGGTGGTCTGTCAACATCATCACAAAGCCAATTTCACCTGTGATCAATCTGGTCTTTAGTAGTAGAAACAGACTGGTAAGTTTTTATCAGTTTTTCAATGAACATCCTTGTTTTGCACCCATCACTTTCTCCAGGAGTCTCAGTTTTTCCTCGCTGTATTGTTTGCTCTACGGTCTCACAGTTTCCACTTACTGCTGATGAGGTCAGGGGGGGTGGTGTTTCCTCTGCTCACAGGGTCCCGTGCTGGAAGGGTTTCCTCCACTGATTTTAAAGACGCACTACCTTGAGAGTCATCAGAAGAAAGTCATGTTAGCTGCTAAGTTTTCAAAAGGTACTCCAATGACCACACCAACATAAAAAGGCTGTACATTTCAGAACAATTAGCTTTTATTGTCCCACATTAAGACGGTAGTCATTTATTAAAATCACTACTTTATATAATATGTTCTGAGTAACCCTGCCTTCTCAACTTTAAATAATTAACTAAGATGGTTCTTTAATTTTTATATTGTGTTTATTGGTTTTTAACACCCTGCCTAGTGGGATGTTTTTTCAGCGACACTGAAAAGTTTAAATATCTTTGGGATGAAAATGGTAAACTTTACAGATAAAGAGTAGCTCTACAACAGTATAAATAACATCTATTTTGTATTAAGTTTAAGCAAAAAAAATAACAAAGTGTGCATGTTTAAAGAAAAATAGGCTTGTTTTATAGCTTGTCAGAAGTACTTGCCTTTAGTTGGTTTGCTCTGCTCTTCCGTCCCATCCTCAGGTACTTGGTCCCCAGATAACATGTCTGATACTCATCCTGCTCTAATCTCTGTTTCCCTGTTTATAACCGTTCTCCCTGTGCATCGTCCTGCTTCTGTCAGCACCGTCCGGGAGGTCAGGAAACCTCCAACAACACCCAACATGCCGGCTGAGTCACCGCTCAGGAGACTGTGAGCTGCTCTCAATCTGTGTGTGTATGTTTGTGTGTGTATTGTTGTTCAGGAACTTAATTACACTCCCTTTTCTCAGCCGATCCCTGAGATCCGCTCTGAGGTCTGCTGATGTGACTCCAGGTTGCCTTCTCTGTTCTGCTTTTAGTCACCTAACACAATGGAGACACATACCCCATAAGTGTGTCAGCTGAAAACTGTATGTATGCAGGCTCACTCACCCTCTAATTCACACACATACATACAAACCTATGGAAACAAGGACAATTACTAATTTGCTCTGTGAAATTATAATTCATGCTAAAAGTAATGGTTTATTATTAATTATTATTTATTCAAACATTTGGTCCAACCCACATGGCATAAGAAAATGTAAAAACATTTCTGGATTAAACATATCATGTACAAAACAAACAACCAAAAAAAACAAGTTATTAAATCATGTGATTCTCTTTACTTTCAAACGACATACTGTATGTGTGTACATATTTTCAGAATAAGGACTATTAATGCACAGAAATGTACAGACTTGATTATCATATTTGAATTATCATTAAGATTATCGTATCGTATCATAATGTACACAATTAGCCTATCCTGGAATTATGCTTATTGACTTACAAATCCCCTATAGGACAAGTAATGCTTTGAGTTGTATTAAAGGGCCCATGTCATGCTTTTCTGGTTATTACCCGTCCCCTTGTGTGTTATGTAGCTTTTTATGCATGTAAACGGTCTGGAGGGTCACAAACCCTCAAAGTACACCCTGTAGCGAGTACAACTCTAACACAGAAAAGACCTGTCTATGCTGCCCCAGAACGCCTCATTGGACATTTCTCTTTTTCCATTGTTTACTTCTTGGGTATAGTGACGTTAGCGGGACACCGTGAGCTGGCTCACTGGTGTGGGGACAGCGAGACACCGCGGAACTCAGCCTAGGCACACACACAAACTCCCAGCCAGGCTATGGGTGTGTGTGTGTTCGTGCTGGGTTTCGCTGTGTCTCGCTGTCTCGCAGATGGCCACTGGACTCACAGGGAGGGCGGGGCAGGAGCTCCAACAAGCCGTGTAGGACAGAGAGTGAATACACATACTATACAGAGATGCTGTATGAGAAACCAATGTGAGTTTGGAAAATTGCACAATATACATTTATTCTAGTATACCTCAACAATGGAATTATGATCAGTAGAAATGGCCACGACATGGGACCTTTAAATATAATTGTTTGGCATACAAAAAACATAATTTAAGGCTATTGTATGTCCTTCCTCAATATTTGGAGTTTCCACACTCTAATTATATAACTAAATAACTATGTTCTAATATAACTGATGCCGTTAAGATGCGGTAAATATAAATATATTCTCATGTATCCACACCCCTATTATTTATTGTTAAGTACGCCGTGTGAGAGCACAGTATCAATCAATCATTAATTCTGAGCCATTCGTAAAGAAAATCCAACCATTAATATCTAATTAAATTAAAGTTGGTGACATAAAAAACACAGAGGAGGAGTTGATGAAGACAGGACAGCTGGCGACAGCATCATCATCATCACTGAGTAGGAGATGAACAGAGACCAGCCCTTTGTGAGCGCTGTTGACTAAGTGCTGTCAGAAGAGCTGCGCTGAGGAGATGTTGACTCGCCTCACCGTGAGTCTACGGCACATCAAAGCAACACATAAGTGAAGCTGTTGAAGTTGTCTCGCACCATGCTAACTTTCAGTCAGTGAACGCAGCGTGGAGAGGCAGTCAGAAGGAAATGTCATCTAATAGGCTGACAGCGAATCAAAGGAAGCCCTGAGAGAACAGCAAACTTAAAGACAACTCGTTATCAGCAAAGACAATTACTGACATTAGTCAAAACAAGGAGCTGAGAATCTGAGGCCTTTGTTCTGTCGTAACATGTTCCCTGCATGGAGGAGAAGAAGGTGTGATGCTTTGGTTTATTTATTTATTTTGTTATTATTATTAGCATTTTAAGTGATAAAAGTAAGGATAACCTAATATATAATTTCAGTAATCATCAAAAGACAAACAACCATGAATTTAACAAAACAATGTTTATGTGATAATGTTAATACTTTTTATTTGAAGCAGGTATTAGAATGTATGGCACTTTTAATTAATTTAATTCATAGATTTTTCTAAATCATAGGTAACTTTCATGTTTTCACGCTTACTACATAAACACGAATTGAATAATAATTGTTTGAAATAATATTCAAAGTTGCAGCAATGTTGTAAAGGATTTGGATTGGACAGAATATTTACTTTATGTAAATATATATTGTGAATTATCCTCATAGTTCAGTTTGACATTATCATACTTCTTGTTATAATTAACCAGACTGAAAAATATAACCCTGCTACTGCAATCCAAAAAAGATATACTTTTAAAATGTATTTTCCATTTAAAATACCCTGTTACACTCCCGCAGGTGTAAACATGCCATGTTAGAAAATGTGTGGTATTAAAGTGTACTTGTGGGTAACAAAGCTAAACCGTGCAGAATATTTGAATTTGAACTCAAATGTGTTTTTTCCAACATCATTAATCTCACGTGAAACAATCAATCAATGTTTATTTATATAGCCCAATATCACAAATGTTACATTTGTCTCAGTGGTCATAAATGTCACAATGATACCATAAACAGCTTTAATGACACAGTGACAAGTTTGGATATATTAATTACATTGTAATCAGACACTTTGTACATAAAGTTACAGACAAACCCATTTATATAAATACAGAGCGGTGTTTGTGCACAGCATCTAATGTAAACACTCAAAATGGTACAACAATGGAATGTTTGGCACAATCTTTATTCCATAAGTTACATGTAGAGAAACAGGAAAACACACGAGACAAAAAGACTTTGGTCACTAACATTGATAAAACACCTTCAGCAGACTGATGAGGCGTGTGGCGCAGGGGAGGCGTGTGGCGCAGTGTGTTGGTGTTCGGATCAGGGGGTCACAGGTTCAAACCCCACTGCAGTCAGCATGTCGTTGTGTCCCTGAGACTCTTCACCCCAAATTGCTCCTGTGGGGTTTGCCCACAGTATTGAGTATGTAAGTCGCTTTGGATAAAAGCGTCTAACAAGTAACATGTAATGTAATGATGAGATTACGTATTGGGCGGTAGTGGCAAAGTCCATAGGGAACTGGAAGGTCACCAGTTCAAGTCCCGGCAAGACCAAGTGCTACCGAGGTGCTACACTGCTCCCCGGGCGCCGTTCAAAATGGCAGCGCACTGCTCCTAACACTAGGATGGGTCAAATGCAGAGAAACAATTTCCCCACGAGGGATTAATAAAAGTCCATCTTATCTTATCTTGGATGACAGAGAGAAGCCACAGCACACACTGTGTTATCAAATATTTCACAAACAGAAAACCGTCACCAAAAAACATCCGTGTCTTCTCTCTTACTCACAGAGACCAAACATTAACTCTGTACATCATGTTATAACAAAAAGATCAGTGCTTTGACCGTTAGAATAAAACATTTACATGAAAGAGTTGGACCCTTAAAAAGACATAATTTCTCCGACCCATCAGTTCCCAACTCCCAGTTTCTGACTGTACATTTTCTCTATATTTTATTTACGCTGATGCTTGTCATGATGCACGTTTTTCGCCATGTCTGAAAACAAAAAGATCATATTTTTTCCACTATGGATAGTCCAAATGTGACAGCTTTGGAACCACCCAATTTTACACCTTTAAATACATTACATCTCATTTTTAACTGTGATCATTTAAGTGTTGATCTTATCTTTGAACTAATGGTTTCAAAAGTCCAACACGGAAAAAATGCGGCACTATATTCTACTTCCTTTTCTTTAGGGCTACAATGTCAGAGTTAAAAGTGGATAGCTGCAGATGTGTATGAATCGTGTATATCTGCCATATAATGAACCACATTTCAGAATGTCTCTATTTCAAGGTGTATTAGATCAAATCGTTTTATTTTGCCAACAATTTCAGGCTGTCTGACACAACACACTGAAGGCTACCATGACGTAAAGATGGTATAATATGTCAACTGTGGTCTACTCTGACTTCTGTACAAAGAAGTCTAACCTATTCTGCTTTGCAATCGGATTGTTTTGATTGTCATTCAAGGTCAAACAAATGCTCTTCGTCGTCTTCAGTCGCGTCGTGCTGCAGACCGGCTGCATTAACTGCTGGCATCAGAGACTCTTCCTCGTTCAGATTCAGCGCTTCTTCTTTAAGGAAAAGAGACCTGCAGGAGGTAAAAAAACAAAGACTTGTCAATCAATTATTGCAGCACATCAATCCCTTTTTTAGGTTTAACCGGTTATATAAAACTCACTGCTGGACTCTTGTAGAGAAGTTGTGTTTATTGTGGCTGTTTATTGTTTTGTTGTCCTGTATTTCACTCCTGGAGTTTCTGCTGACACACTCCTTGAATCCTGGCGGTGAACCCTCAGCCAGGGACGTCTACAAAGAATAATAAGAAATATTCAACCTCAACCAGATCAAACTCCTGTAAACCAGAATCTGTACGCTCACACATCCTCTCACCTGTAAACTGCCATTCACAACCGTCCCATAATCAAGGTTGGGGGATGCATTTTTAATCAGCGATGGACTCCTGTGGAATAATAAAGGTAACATGTTTTATAATGGACACAATCCATGTCTAAATCATGGCAGGCAGATCAATGCCTAGTGTATATTCAGTAAGACTCAACATTGGTAACCAGCAATAGTTTGAGGCATTTATGATGACAAATCATTCAGTCGCATAAACAATCAGGAAAGAGCCTTGAAACTGCCATCATTATAAATAATTTGTCATTATTTGATGAGGTTCATTATGGAAAAACAGGGTTAGGGTTAGCACACAGGACTTTACTGTCAATGTTGACCCTGATAGCAATGCAGTGTTGTCACAACGAAGGTCAATACTTAAAAAGTCTCAATTTCTGTTAATGACAAATTCCGC